ACACAGTTTGGCTTCTGCAAAGGACTAGGCACAAGAGAAGCAATCTTCTGTCTACAGATACTACTACAGCGATGCTACGAACATCAGAAAGAAGTGTACGTCTGCATCATAGATTACGAGAAAGCCTTTGACTCAGTAGACCACGACCGACTAGCAGCTCTATTAAAACAACTGGGACTAGATAAAAACGACATCAACTTCATCATTGCTCTTTATTGGAAGCAAACAGCCCAACTCCGATATGACAACGAATTGACAGACCCAACACCAATACAAAAAGGTGTACGACAAGGCTGCCCACTTTCACCCAGTTTTTTCAACATCTACTCGGAGCAGATTTTTGATCGAACACTAGCAAATAAAAACATTGGTATTAAAGTCAATGGACAATACATTAACAACATCAGTTATGCCAACGACACTGCACTGTTGGCCGATTCGGAACAAGACCTACAACAATTCTTGGACGAGATTGCCACAGAGAGTCAAATATGGGGCTTACGAATTAATAAAAAGATAACAAAGGTTATGAAGGTCAGCCGAACTACAAGCGAAATAACAATCAAGCTTGGCAGCGAAAAATTGGAACAAGTACACCGATTTAAATACCTTGGTGTAATCATTGACTATCAGTTGAACCATGAAGTCGAAATCAAGAGCAGAATTGAACAAGCAAGGCAAGCATTTATTAAATGGAAAACACTCCTTGCAGATCACAACTTGAGTACATCACTGAAACTGTGCACACTGAAATGCTACATCTGGTCAATTTTGCTGTACGGAGTAGAGACGTGGACACTGACAACAACAGCAACAAAAAGGCTCGAAGCTTTTGAGATGTGGCTGTATCGAAGGATGCTGAAAATCCCATGGACAGCCAAAACCACCAATACACAAGCTCTGCAAGATATGGGCACTGACAGGCAACTGCTGAAGACCATAATTAGCAGGAAGTGTTACTACCTAGGCCACATTGCCCGAAACGACCACAAGTACCAGCTATTAAAGCAAATCTTGGAAGGAAAAATCGAAGGGAAAAAACGACCAGGACGGCTAAAAACGACATGGCTCAGTAACATCAAAACATGGCTACAATAAACAACAGCAGCACAAACTCTACACGCCGTGCTAGACCGGGACCAATATCATCGTGAAGTCGCACACGCCGTTAGGCAGCACTAAAGAAGAAGAAATTTAAAAAAGATGGACCCGATTTTAAATCGCTATATCTCTGTAACCACGAACCGCCCATGAATGAAACTCTTACCACTTGAAAGGGTGGGGCGTAGAGAGGGCGGGGCATAGAGAGAGGGCGGGGCACAGAGTTTCAAATGATGACCGCGAGATGCCTCTCCCAGCGCACAAACAGCCCCTAGCCTCAGTCACAACACAAGGGGCGTTTTGTGTTCTGCAGTTCGGCAAGACTGAATCCGTAATCGCGGTGCAGCGTGCGTTTCAACGGCGTTTTGGCATTGAGCCGCCAACGTCAAAGAGCATTCGTCGTTGGTGCCGACAATTTGAGGAAACGGGCTGTTGATGTAAGGGGAAGAGCACGGAGCGACCACACACCTCAGAGGAAAACGTGAGAAGAGAGGCGTTTGGGATGAATTCAACTATCGTCTCGATGTTGTCCGTACAGCAGGTGGAGGGTACATTTATAAAATGGTTAGTAAAACTTGATAACTCGTTAAACCGTTTGTAACTTTTTGTGTAATTGTAACATGTTGCCATCGTGAAATATACTGCTTTGAAATTGAGTCCATCTTTTTCGAAAACCTTGTATAATTCTAGATTTGAAGCTTTCGTGACTGCGAGGATTCATACTCTTAGTTTTTTGGGTAAAGTCACGTAGGTAAAAAATTAAATTAAAATTAATAAAAATAAAAGAATAAAAATCACGACGTTTCGGAGGCAACACAAGCTTCCGTCTTCAGGTGAAACCGTCACAGCAAAATATCTGTATCAAGTATAATAGAAAATAGTTTGAATAGTTGGCAATATAGATGTGTGTGTGTACGCTACTCGGCAGGCAGCTATCGCCTCGTGCAGTGCATTGTGGGTTGGGTGTGACCGCGTGGTCCGTGATGCCACGCAATTTCACTGCGTGCTCCCCTTTATTCTTTGAAAAAAATCTACTACTACGCCGACTACCACCGCACAGAGCGAGGGGAAACTTCTTACGATGATCACCTTGTTCTTACGATGGATAACCTCTTACGATGGATAACTTCTTACGATAGATAACCTCTTACGATGAACCTTGCTCGTTCCCAGCCGCGCGTGAATGCACTCTTCATCCGTCGCAACTCTGACGCTTTGGGGCCGGCGGTGAACAACCGATGGCATCAACCCGGTGGGCAGGCACATACCGACGTTGGGCCGACGTTGGGTCAACGTTGGGCCAACGTCGGGATGTGGTTGAAAACGTTAGGCCTGACTTGGGCCCGGCGACGTTCCATGTTTACTAGGCGGCCTCCTTCCTTGCATTTATTTCTTCCGTGTGATGTGCATCTACATCAGGGGTCGGGAACCTTTTTGACTGGGAGAGCCATAAAAGCCAAATATCTCTAAATATATTTCATTGAGAGCCATATAGTATTTTTAACGTATAATAAATTAAATATGTCTTACTTTTAATGCAACTTCTGGTGCTGCATGGTTTTGCTGATTGCCTTGTAGTCTGGTTCGTACGTGGTGAGGTTGAGCTTCATGCAGGCGTGACCCGTGAAATTTATCTTCAAAACTTATTTCTGTTTACTTTAAAATGACACAGCATTATTAAACAATATCACAAGTATTTTAAAATCAGTTCCAAACCGATTTTTTTATTTATTTTTGTTATTATTATTTTCAACTCAAAATTGTCTGGGAGCCATATGCCGTCACTGGAAGAGCCATATATGGCTCGCGAGCCATAGGTTCCCGACCGCTGATCTACATCAACCAACGGCTACAATTTAACATTCAGGTGTTCAGGCCAGATAACCGCATCAGGAGCAAGCGGAGTGTACCGCTGTGATGTTTTCCTTCGTGCTTGTGGATCGGGCCATTGCGTCATTCCACGTTGTACTACGTGTCTGCCCTGGGTGACTCACAGTCGCACACGCTACTGGAGATTTTTCAAATTTTCCACCAGCGCAACAGGGATCAAGCATGTGCTGCCGCTGAAGCTTTGTCAAGCGGATGCGGTTTAGGGTGGGAAGTTCAAACCCAGATGTTCTTGCTGCGTGTGGCTCTTTCACAACAAGCTGGTGTTTGTTCACGAGATCCGTTGAATTCCATTCCCCGGCGTCGTTGTCGGTTAAGCGCACAGGTCCAAAACGGACATGCCGTGCGTGACCTTGCAAGCGACGACGAGTGGACGTCATCGTGTTGAATGGGGAGAGGCGACTGCTCCACCCCCACTCCCCTCCCCCGTGACTGCAGGGATTCATCTTCTTGGTTCTTTCAGTAAAGTCACCACGTAGAAGGGAAATAATAAAGTAATAAAATAATAAAAATACAACATAATAAAATTATTTTATTTTATTATGTTTTATTTTTATTAAAAATACAACATAATAAAATTATTTTATTTTATTATATTTTATTTTTATTATTTTATTACTTTATTATTTCCCTTCTACGTGACTTTAATATAATAAAATTATTTTATTTTATTATGTTATATTTTTATTCTTTTATTATTTCCCTTCTACGTCACTTTAATATAATAAAATTATTTTACTATGTTTTATTTTTACTATTTTATTATTTCCCTTCTACGTCACTTTACCGAAAGAACCAAGAAGATGATTCTCAGGAGATTCCCTTTGCTGTGTGTGTGTCACCTCGGCGTGGCATTTTTCTTTCCTCGCCGCAGTGCGCCCGCCACGACCGCGTCCCCCGTCGCTCATGGTCCGTGCCGCGGGGACGAACGCCGCCGCCGCCACCACCAACCCCGCCCCAACGTTTGTTCTTTCTCTCTATATTTGAAGCTTTCGTGACTGCAAGGATTCATATTCTTAGGTTTTTTCGGTAAAGTCACGTAGGTAAAAAATTTAAAATTAATAAAAGTAAAATAAAAATAAAATCACGACGTTTCGGAGGCAACACATGCTTCCGTCTTCAGGTGGAACCGTCACAGCACGATTGCTGTATCAAGCGTTGTGATAGCTGTATCACTTGATACAGCTATCGTGCTGTGACGGTTCCCCCTGAAGACGGAAGCTTGTCTTGCCTCCGAAACGTCGTGATTTTTATTTTATTTTTATTTTACTTTCATTAATTTAATTTTTTTCACAGCACGATAGCTGTATCACTTGATACAGCTATCGGGCTGTGACGGTTCCACCTGAAGACGGAAGCTTGTGTTGCCTCCGAAACGTCGTGATTTTTATTTTATTTTTATTTTACTTTCATTAATTTAATTTTTTTCACAGCACGATAGCTGTATCACTTGATACAGCAATCGGGCTGTGACGGTTCCCCCTGAAGACGGAAGCTTGTGTTGCCTCCGAAACGTCGTGATTTTTATTTTATTTTTATTTTACTTTCATTAATTTAATTTTTTTCACAGCACGATAGCTGTATCACTTGATACAGCTATCGGGCTGTGACGGTTCCACCTGAAGACGGAAGCTTGTGTTGCCTCCGAAACGTCGTGATTTTTATTTTATTTTTATTTTACTTTCATTAATTTAATTTTTTTCACAGCACGATAGCTGTATCACTTGATACAGCAATCGGGCTGTGACGGTTCCCCCTGAAGACGGAAGCTTGTGTTGCCTCCGAAACGTCGTGATTTTTATTTTATTTTTATTTTACTTTCATTAATTTAATTTTTTTCACAGCACGATAGCTGTATCACTTGATACAGCTATCGGGCTGTGACGGTTCCACCTGAAGACGGAAGCTTGTGTTGCCTCCGAAACGTCGTGATTTTTACTTTATTTTAATTCTACTTTCATTAATTTTGATTTTTTTACCTACGTGACTTTCTTCTTTTTCTCTCTCTCCAGGAATCCACCTACCCCAGGATCGTCCTCCACCCGCAGCCGCCGAGATGGCCGGGAAGGGGAAGCAGAGCGACGGATTTGATCTGACGCCAACCTTCATTCCCGAACGAGGTAAACGCTCCCACCGGGCTCTTCGTTTTTTGGCGGTGCCCACGCGAAATCCCAAACGCTCATCCGTCGCTCCAGTCGGCCAAACGTCCCCAATGCAGTACTGCCAGCAGCAGCAGTAGCAGCGGCAGCAGCGGCAGTAGCAGCAGCAGTAGCAGCAGCAGTAGCAGCGGCAGTAGCAGCAGCAGCAGCAACAGCGGCAGCAGCAGCGGCAGCAGCAGCAGCAGCAGCCTCCTGGGAAGTAGGCCTTGGTACTCGGTGAGGCATGATCGTAAATAAATCGCACCATCACGAAGTCAAGCCGGGGTTGAGCCTGGACAGTGCTCGGATGGGGTGACCACCGTGCATGCCAGATGCTATAGGCTCCTGCTGCTGCTGCTGGGATGCTTTGGCGGGCAGCAGAGGACAGGATAGCACCCCCCCCTCTCCCCGCCCCCATTGGTGTTGTGCTGTACTCTCTGCGCCGCCCGTCTTCGCCAAACCCGCACTGACCAGCATGGTGAAGTACGGTCAAATAACGCGCGAGGCTCTAGCAGAGGTGTGGACTCGAGTCATGTGACTTGGACTCGAGTCAGACTCGAGTCATGAATTTGATGACTTCAGACTCGACTTGGACTTGCATAACAATGACTTTGTCCCACCTCTGAGGTGTGGACTCGAGTCATGTGACTTGGACTCGAGTCAGACTCGAGTCATGAATTTGATGACTTCAGACTCGACTTGGACTTGCATAACAATGACTTTGTCCCACCTCTGGGCTCTAGTCCAGCGGCGGATTGACGGCGGCGTCTCCGTGAGATGCCCGGGGACCTGGTGTCATCGCTTAACCCGAAGCCGCGGTCAGGTGGCGTAAGGCTACGCTCTCTTTCTGCGTGCGGCGTTTATTTAACCTGCGTGTGTACGTGTGCGTGTGTGCGGGGAGCGGTGGTGTAGCGGTTAGCGCAGCGCTGCGCTACGAACCTGGCGACCCGGGTTCGATTCCCGCTCACGGCCAACACCGCCAGTGACGATTGTCTGAACCGGTCCTGGGCCTCCCCTAGGTCGACTCGGACTCAAATGAGTACCTAGTGCGGTGTGTAAACATCGCTGCTGGGGAGACAAAGGCGGTCGGGCGTGGTTGCTGGCCACCCACCCCCTCGTGTGCCGTGCCGGCCTTTATAGGTGCTCGTTAACAGCACTTGCCCGTACAGTCTGTTAAGGTTATACGGGAGATCTTTATCTTTGTACACGTTGAACGTCTTTCGCACCGTCCGTAGACAGCCGAGCTAATCGGAGGTTGCGGGGGAAAGACAAGAAACTAAACACACACAAAGCATTTTTGCCTCCAATGGCCTTTCTAATAACCTTTGTGTGTGCGTGTGTACCGTGCATACACGACTGTGTTTGTGTGTGTGTGTCGTATGTGTACATGTACACATGTTGGGAGCGGTGGCGCAGTGGTTAGCGCATTTAGCTGCGGAGCCGGCGACCCGACTTTGATTCCTGCTCGTGGCTACCAACACCTGTGACGATTGTCTGAACGTGTCCTGGGCCTCCCCTAGGTCGACTCAGCCTGAAATGAGTACCTGGTGTGGAGTGTAAACATCGGCCACCCACCCCCTCGTGTGCCGTGCCGGCCTTCGTAGTGCCTCTGAAGCCAACGACCCGAGTTAGATTCCCACTCTCCCCTAGGTCGACTCAGCTTCGGATGAGCACCTACCTGGTGGGGTTGCCAAACCGCAGTAAACGTGGAGCGTTGGGGCGACGTTGGGTCAACGTTAAACCAACGTCGGACCAACGGTGGGTCAACATTGGCATGTTAACCGCGCGTTGTGTGTGTGCGTGTACGTTGAACTTCTTTCGCACCGTACTTCGCCAACTGTGCCAATCGGCCTCAATAGGCGCTCACTGACAGCGCTGGGGTGGGGGGCGCGGTGCCTCCCTTTTTTTTGCGTGTCGTCCGTTGCGTGCAGGTAGCGTCAAGAATGGCTTCCACAACGCCGGCTTCGAGCGAGACGCGCCAGAGGAGGTCACAAAGGAGGAGGTCACAAAGAAGGCGAACAAGTGAGTCCACGGTTCTTTCATTGGGGGGTGGAGGGGGGGGGGGTGAGGCTGGGCTTCTGTGACGTCAGAACGGTTCGGCGGCGACAATGAGGGGCAGCCTATCGCTGTGACCCAGAGGTCGCAAACGGGTTTTGATTCCTTACCCGTACCCGGCCGCACCAGGGTCGCAAATGGGTACGGCTACCCGTTCCCTACCCGAAATGAGGGACAAACGGCTACTCACCAGTGACTCGCGGCCAACCCGTACCCGTACCCGGCCGCACCAGGGTCGCAAACGGCTACCCGATACCCGTACCCTACCCGATACCCGGCTACCCGTACCCGGTCGGGTACGGGTAAGGAATCAAAACCCGTTTGCGACCTCCATCGGGGGAGGACATTGAGCGGTGGAAGACGAAGAATCGGAATGCCGATTTTTTTTATGCTCGAGATTTTTCTGTGCGCTATGCAGCCTTTTTTTTTTGACGAGTGTCCAGTCAGGATGGCGGGGCAGAGTGTTACAATACAACAACAATACAACAACAACAATACAATACAATAATAACAACAATACAATACAACAACAATACAACAACTACAATACAATACAGCACAATACAATAATAACAACAATACAATACAACAACTACAATACAACACAATAATAACAACAATACAATACAACAACTACAATACAACACAATACAATAATAACAACAATACAATACAATACAACAACAATACAACAATACAATAATAACAACAATACAATACAACAACAATACAACAATACAACACAATACAATAATAACAACAATACAACACAACAACAACAATACAACAACGATGGGGAGGGCAAAGTACAGGGAAGGGTAAGCAAAGCGCAAAAAATAAACTTAAACCGCAACTTTAACACGTAGCAGGCTTTCGCGACCAGTATTATTTAAATAAAGGTTTTTGGGTTAGATCGCGTTATTTATAAATGTGTCGCAACCCTCCACCATCCGAGACGGCCAATCAGTAAAAAAAAGTGTCACGTTCACAAAAGACAAAATAGTTCACTACTTTAGCCCACCGGTGTGTTGAAGAGTGGATCCACAACATTGAAAAATGTTTGAGTAGTACGACGTTTCGCTGGAGATTACACCCAGCATCGTCGGGCGATTTGCCAGAGTAGTGAACTGATCGCGGTCTTAAATAGTGCAGGATTACGTCATCATTGTTGAACCCCATCAGGATTCGAGATCGGAGGCGGAGGTGTGGGTGGGGGTGAATGCAATTATGTAATAGATCTGTAATCAGCCACTTGGCATGTGACTCGCCTGTAAGGAATTGCAATGTGTGTGTGGTCTGTTACTTGATAAGACGCCTCCAGCCTGCGCTGAATCTAAAGCTGTCACAGCGATTTAAATTGCATCTCTCCCCCCCCCCCCCCTTATCTCTCTTCCCCCCCATCTCTCTCCCCCCCCATCTCTCTCCCCCCCCCATCTCCACCCCCCATCTTCCCACCCCATCTCTCTACCCCCCCTCCTCATATCTGTCCCCTCCCATCTCTCTCTCCACCCCCCCATCTCTCTCTCCACCCCCCCCCCCCCATCTCTCTTCCCCCCCCCATCTCTCTATCCCCCCCATCTCTCTCCCCCCTCATCTCCCCCCCCATCTCTCTCTCTCCCCCCTCCATCTCTCTCCCCCCCCCATCTCTCTACCCCCCCCATCTCTCTCCCCCCCCCCCCATCTCTCTCTATCCCCCCTCCATCTCTCCCCCCCATCTCTCTCTCCCCCCCCCCCCTTATCTCTCTTCCCCCCCATCTCTCTCCCCCCCCATCTCTCTCCCCCCCATCTCCACCCCCCATCTTCCCACCCCATCTCTCTACCCCCCCTCCTCATATCTGTCCCCTCCCATCTCTCTCTCCACCCCCCCATCTCTCTCTCCACCCCCCCCCCCCTTCCCATCTCTCTTCCCCCCCCATCTCTCTATCCCCCCCATCTCTCTCTCCCCCCTCATCTCCCCCCCCCCATCTCTCTCTCTCCCCCCTCCATCTCTCTCCCCCCCCCATCTCTCTACCCCCCCCCCATCTCTCCCCCCCCCCATCTCTCTCTATCCCCCCTCCATCTCTCCCCCCCATCTCTCTCTCCCCCCCCCCCCCCCATCTCTCTACCCCCCCCCATCCATCTCTGTTCCTCCCCCCCATCCCCCCCCATCTCCCCCCCCCCCATCTCTCTCCCCCCCCCCCCCCCAATCAGAGACAAGAAGGACAAGAAGCCAAAGCAGACAGTCGGCGTACTGGAAGTGGTAATTATAATCACTACGCCGCACGTACATTTACATACGTGTAGTTATTATACACACACGGGTAAAACATTGCTTCTACCTGAGTCGTTGCCTCCGCGTCATTGTGTGTCGATGTTTCTCTATCAATGTGTCCGTGTCTCCATGCCGTTGTCTCTGTTGATGTCTCCATATCGATATCCGTGTCGATGTTTCGGTGTCGATGTCTCCGTGTCGATGTTGCTCTATCAATGTGTTCGTGTCCGTGTCTCCATGCCGTTGTCTCTGTTGATGTCTCCGTGTCGATGTTTCTCTATCAATGTGTCCGTGTCTCCGTGTCGATGTCTCTGTATCGATGTCTCTGTGTCGATGTCTCCATGTCGATGTCTCCGTGCCGTTGTCTCCGTGTCGATGTCTCCGTGTCGATGTCTCCGTGTCGATGTCTCCGTGTCGATGTCTCCGTGCCGTTGTCCCGGTGCCCGTAGTTCCGGTTCGCCGACGGCCTGGACGTGGCCCTCATGATCGTGGGCCTGGTGGCTGCGATGGGTCACGGAGGAGCCCTCCCGCTCATGATCATCGTGTTCGGCCAAATGACCGACAGCTTCGTCCGCAGCGGCATCAACGGTGGGAAGGGGGGGGGGGGTCACGACCTCGCGATTCACGACCTTTATTCAGACCGGAGGAAATCCGATGACCTATGAAGCTCTTTTTCACAGGTGTCCAGATTCGCTCTCTTTGCCTCTCGTTCTCTCCGTCTCGACGCCGTCGGTCTGACGCTGCCGTGACGCTCTTTTGGCGCGACTGTGGGGGGCCGCAGCGACTTTAGCCCCCTGTGATTGAACCGGACTCTCAAAGACTCGCTCGAGTGACACTTGAAGAAGGGATATCGGAGGTAGCTCTGTGGTGATATCTACTCCTGCAGGTCATTCTCTAACATGGGAAGTGGGTTAAATTTTGACTTAAAGCTTTCGTGACGGCAGGAATTAATATTCTTGGTTCTTTCGGTAAAGTCACCAAGATAGAAATAAATAAAAATTAAATTAAATAATAATAAAAGCAAAAAGCCCACGACGTTTCGATCGCAACACTAGCGGTCTTCATCAGGCGGAGAGAAAAAGAAAAAAGAAAAAGACCGCCTTATTTTGTATCTTATTCTATTATTTGTATTTCTATCTACGTGACTGTACCGAAAGAACCACGAACATGGCAAGTGGGACCAGTGTCGTCACGTGATGAAGGGATCTCGGAGGTAGCTCTGTGAAATCCGCTTCTGCGGGCCGCTCTCTGCTCATGTGGAGGCGTCCGTGACGCCGTGATGCCGGCAGAGGCGATCCGGTGATCAAAGCCCGGAGAGAGACGATGTGAAACCTCCTCTCTCCATCGCTCGCTCGGTGCCTGTGAGTGCGTGTGTGTGTGTGCCTGTACGTGTGGGGAGCGGTGGTGCAGCGGTTAGCGCTGCGGTGCGCTACAAACCCGGCGACGCGAGTTCGATCCTCGCGCACGGCCAACGCCGGTAATGATTATCTGAACCGGTCCTGGGCCTCCCCTTGGTCGACTCGGCCTCAAATGAGTACCCCGTGCGGTGTGTAAACATCGCTACTGGGGAGACAAAGGCGGCCGGGCACGGTGTTGGCCACCCATCCCCCTCGTGTGCCGTGCCGGCCTTCGTAGGTGCCACTCGCTAACAGCACTTGCCCCAGCAGTCTGTTGAGGCTACACGGGGGATCTTTGTCTTTGTGTGTTATCCGCGTGGAGTCTCCGTGTAATCAATTCTCGGTGGCTTCTGCGCGCGCCCTGTCCTGTGCCACAGCCACGGTGCCCGGCGGTGCCAACGACACGAACGTCACCTTCCCGTCGGCAAACCTGAGCGCCACCGAAATGGGCGACTTGCTGCAGGCCGAGATGTCGAAGTGAGGATCGTCGTCGCCCTTGTCCTGCGTCGTCATCGTCATCATGATCATGATCGTCATCGTCATCATGATCGTCGTCGTTGTCATTGTCGTTGTCGTCGTCTTCGTCATCATGGTCATCATCGTCGTCATCATCGTCGTCCTTGTTATCATCGTCGTCGTCATCATCGTTTTGGTCAATGTCACGGTCATCATCCTCATCATGGTCATCATCTTCGTCATGATTGTCATCATCATTGTCATGGGTCTCAATGATAATCACCGCCATCATCATCTTCGTCACCAACGACATCTTTGTCACGGTTATCGTTATCACCGTCATCATCATCATCATTGTGGTGCAGCAGCAGCAAGCGCAACAGTAGCAGGAGTAGCTGCCAGAGCAGTAACAGCAGTAGCAACAGCAGGAGCAGTAGCAACAGCAGAAACAGCAGCAGTGGCAGCAGGAGCAGCAGCAGTAGCAGGAACAGGAACAGCAGTACCAGCAGCAGGAACAGCAGCAGTGGCAGCAGGAACAGCAGCAGTAGCAGGAACCGGAACAGCAGCAGTGGCAGCAGGAATAGCAGCAGTAGCAGTAGCAGGAACCGGAACAGCAGCAGTGGCAGCAGGAACAGCAGCAGTAGCAGCAGCAGTAGCAGCAGCAGGAACCGGAACAGCAGGCATGGCAGCAGGATCGGCAGCAGTAGCAGCAACAGGAACAGCAGCAGTGGCAGCAGGATCAGCAGCAGTGGCAGGAACAGGAGTAGCAGTGGCAGGAGCAGCAGTAGCAGGAACAGGAACAGCAGCAGTGGCAGGAACAGGAACAGCAGCAGTGGCAGGAACAGCAGTAGCAGGAGCAGGAACAGCAGCAGTGGCAGCAGGATCAGCAGCAGTGGCAGGAACAGCAGTAGCAGGATCAGCAGCAGTAGCAGGAACAGGAACAGCAGCAGTAGCAGGAGCAGGAACAGCAGCAGTGACAGCAGGATCAGCAGCAGCAACAGGAACAGCAGTGGTGGCAGCAGGAACAGCAGCAGTGGCAGCAGGATCAGCAGCAGCAACAGGAACAGCAGTGGTGGCAGCAGGAACAGCAGCAGTAGCAGGAACAGGAACAGCAGTGGTGGCAGCAGGATCAGCAGCAGTAGCAGGAACAGGAACAGCAGCAGTAGCAGGAGCAGGAACAGCAGCAGTGGCAGCAGGATCAGCAGCAGCAACAGGAACAGCAGTGGTGGCAGCAGGAGCAGCAGTAGCAGCAGGAACAGGAACCGCAGCGGTGGCAGCAGGATTAGCAGCAGCAGCGGTGGCAGCAGGATCAGCAGCAGCAACAGGAACAGCAGTGGTGGCAGCAGGAACAGCAGCAGTAGCAGCAGGAACAGGAACCGCAGCGGTGGCAGCAGCACCTTCCAAAGTGATGCCCACCATGAGCCAACACCACAGACGTTCCAAGTGGTTATGATAATACTACGACTCGTAATGGTAATAATGATGATGATCAAGCAGCGCAAGGGTTCCTCCCTTTTCAAAGCTCAGTTTTTATCTTGTCGGAGGGCGTAAGCCGACGGCGGAGGCTGACGGAGGCCACGGCAGCTCTTGGGGTGGGGAGGGCTATTAGTCCGGCAGTGGATTGAACACGTCGCTCGCAGCCCGACCCCGGGCGGGCACGCCGTAGCGTCACAAAGTTTCGCGGAGACGACGGTCCGGCGGGCGCCACCTCGCCGCCATCTGGGAGTCGGCCGCAAAGTGAGGGGGGGGAGGGGCGGGGGGTGTTGTGGCCGGGGTGCGATGGAGATAACTTCGGCAACGGTGGAGAATGCGGGAGGAGAGCGGGGATCGAGCGTTGCTCCTCTCGCCTCCTGAACTCTGACCCCTCCCGCCGTGGCCTGCGCAGGTACGCTTGGTACTACGTGGCCATCGGCTGCGCCGTGCTGGTGTCCGCGACGCTGCAGGTGTCGTGCTGGATGCTGGCGGCGGCGCGCCAGTGCCAACGCATCCGCCACCAGTTCTTCCGCGCAATCCTCCACCAGGAGATGAGCTGGTTCGACACGACGCAGATCGGCGAGCTGGGCTCGCGACTCACCGAGTGAGCGCCGCACACGCGCGCGCGGAGTCGGGCGCACACGTACACGCGGAGTCACATACACATGGAGTCAAGTACACGCACGCCCGGCGCTCCGCTCGTTGTTGTGAGCGTCGTTCCTCTGCCCTCCGCTGTTGCTGAAGGGCGACTGCCTCCAACGGCCCAGTAGCAGCAGCAGCAGCGTCCTTCCTTCAACAACCTCCTCCTTGACACCGCCGGTACCGGTCACAGAAAGCTTGCGGGGGTCACAAGCACCATCCTGTTCACGGCACCGTGACTCATCCCCTCTCCCACCCCCACCCCCACCTCCGTCTCTCTCTCTCTGCCATCCTCCCGTCTCGCAGCGACATCAACACGATCAACGTCGGCATCGGCGACAAGGTCAGCCTGTTCATGCAGTTCTTCTCCTCCTTCGTGGTCGGCTTCGTCATCGGCTTCGCCCACGGCTGGAAGCTCACGCTCGTCATCCTCTCCGTGAGCCCGCTGCTCGCCATCTGCGCCTCGATGCTCGCCAAGGTGAGGACGGCGACGCTCCGTCGGCGAACGGGGCTGGCGGTCACGGCGTGGGCCACGCCTTGACTGCCCGCTCGCTCGCTCGCTCGCTCATTCGTCGACCGTTCGCTCGCCCGCTCGATCGCTCGCTCGCTCAATCGCTCATTCGTCGACCGTTCGCTCGCTCGCCCGCTCGATCGATCGCTCGCCCGATGGCTCGTTCGCTCGCCTGCTAGATTGGGTGGATGAGCTCGCGCGCTCACTCCTCTAACCCTCCGTTGTTGTTGTTGTTGTTAGGCGACTGCTTGCTCCAACTGTGCCCCAGTAGCGATTTGGCACAGTTGGCTACGTAGGGTGCGGAACAAGTTCAACGTACACACACACATACACAAACGTGGCCACGTGCTATCGTGCACCGTGCCGGCCTTCATAAGACGCCCGCTAACAGCACTTGCCCCAGCAGGTCTGTCTGCCTCTATGGGTGACCTTTGTCTTTGTGTGTGTGCGCGTGTGTGCGTGTGTGTGTCCGCGTACACCAGCTGCTGGGCTCGCTGACGACAGCCGAACTGACCGCGTACGCCAAGGCCGGAGCCGTGGCCGAGGAGGTCCTGATGGCCATCAGGACGGTGGTGGCCTTCGGAGGTCAGCAGAAAGCCGTCGACAGGTGAGCACACGGGCACCCCCCCCGCCACCACCGCCCACCACTGCCCCCCCCCATCACTGCTCCCCCCCACCACTGTCCCCCCCACCGCCCCCCTCCGTAACGTTGATTTACGTCGCCCCCTTTTTACGTAATTTAGCAAATACGCCATTGCTCTATTAACCCTTTCCCGTTCCAATGACGTACGTCACGGCGTACGCGAGGCGGTACGTCACGGCGTACGCAACGACGTACGTCACGGCGTGCCTCATTGGTCCTTGTTCTGATTCCGTTACCCCCCCGCCCCGCTCCCCTCCACCCCCCAATGAAGACCGCCTGGTCCCAACGAACCCCACCAGCACCCCCCCCCCCCACGCTTAGATTACTAAGGTCACGATACACAGAGAGGTCACGATACACCGAGGAGCTTGCCTCCTGCCTCCACCTCCCCCCCCATCGGCCTTCTCCTGCACGGTGTCCAGTCCACAGCCCCTCCCCCCACCCACCCTCGTTGTTGTCATCGTTGTCATTGGGCGAGATCCAAAGGAACGGCGCCACGCTCACCGCCACGCTCACCGCCACGCTCACCATGATACACTCACCGCCACGCTCACCGCCATGCTCACCGCCATGCTCACCGCCACGCTCACCGCCACGCTCACCATGATACACTCACCGCCACGCTCACCGCCATGCTCACCGCCATGCTCACCGCCACGCTCACCGCCACGCTCACCACCACGCTCACCATGATACACTCACCGCCACGCTCACCGCCACGCTCACCGCCATGCTCACCGCCACGCTCACCGCCACGCTCACCGCCATGCTCACCGCCACGCTCACCGCCACGCTCACCGCCACGCTCACCATGATACACTCACTGCGACGCTCACCATCATGCTCACCGCCACGCTCACCGCCACGCTCACCGCCATGCTCACCGCCACGCTCACTGCGATGCTCACCGCCACGCTCACCGCCACGCTCACCGCCACGCTCACCATGATACACTCACCGCCACGCTCACCGCCACGCTCACCGCCATGCTCACCGCCACGCTCACCGCCACGCTGACCGCCACGCTCACCATGATACACTCACTGCCACGCTCACCGCCACGCTCACCGCCATGCTCACCGCCACGCTCACTGCGATGCTCACCGCCACACTCACCAACACACTCACCACCACGCTCACCATGATACACTCACCGCCACGCTCACCGCCACGCTCACCGCCATGCTCACCGCCACGCTCACCGCCACGCTCACCGCCATGCTCACCGCCACGCTCACCGCCACGCTCACCGCCACGCTCACCATGATACACTCACTGCGACGCTCACCATCATGCTCACCGCCACGCTCACCGCCACGCTCACCGCCATGCTCACCGCCACGCTCACTGCGATGCTCACCGCCACGCTCACCGCCACGCTCACCGCCACGCTCACCATGATACACTCACCGCCACGCTCACCGCCACGCTCACCGCCATGCTCACCGCCACGCTCACCGCCACGCTGACCGCCACGCTCACCATGATACACTCACTGCCACGCTCACCGCCACGCTCACCGCCATGCTCACCGCCACGCTCACTGCGATGCTCACCGCCACACTCACCAACACACTCACCACCACGCTCACCATGATACACTCACCGCCACGCTCACCGCCACGCTCACCGCCATGCTCACCGCCACGCTCACCGCCACGCTCACCATGATACACTCACCGCCACGCTCACCGCCACGCTCACCGCCATGCTCACCGCCACGCTCACCGCCACGCTGACCGCCACGCTCACCATGATACACTCACTGCCACGCTCACCGCCACGCTCACCGCCATGCTCACCGCCACGCTCACTGCGATGCTCACCGCCACGCTCACCGCCACGCTCACCGCCACGCTCACCATGATACACTCACCGCCACGCTCACCGCCACGCTCACCGCCATGCTCACCGCCACGCTCACCGCCACGCTGACCGCCACGCTCACCATGATACACTCACTGCCACGCTCACCGCCACGCTCACCGCCATGCTCACCGCCACGCTCACTGCGATGCTCACCGCCACACTCACCAACACACTCACCACCACGCTCACCATGATACACTCACCGCCACGCTCACCGCCACGCTCACCGCCATGCTCACCGCCACGCTCACCGCCATGCTCACCGCCACGCTCACCGCCACGCTCACCATGATACACTCACCGCCACGCTCACCGCCACGCTCACCGCCATGCTCACCGCCACGCTCACCGCCACGCTGACCGCCACGCTCACCATGATACACTCACTGCCACGCTCACCGCCACGCTCACCGCCATGCTCACCGCCACGCTCACTGCGATGCTCACCGCCACACTCACCAACACACTCACCACCACGCTCACCATGATACACTCACCGCCACGCTCACCGCCACGCTCACCGCCATGCTCACCGCCACGCTCACCGCCATGCTCACCGCCACGCTCACCGCCACGCTCACCATGATACACTCACCGCCACGCTCACCGCCACGCTCACCGCCATGCTCACCGCCACGCTCACCGCCACGCTCACCGCCACGCTCACCATGATACACTCACCGCCACGCTCACCGCCACGCTCACCGCCATGCTCACCGCCACGCTCACTGCGATGCTCACCGCCACACTCACCAACACACTCACCACCACGCTCACCGCGACGCTCACCACCACGCTCACCGCCACGCTCACTGCGATGCTCACCGCCACACTCACCAACACACTCACCACCACGCTCACCGCGACGCTCACCACCACGCTCACCGCCACGCTCACTGCGATGCTCACCGCCACACTCACCAACACACTCACCACCACGCTCACCGCCACGCTCACCGCCACGCTCACCGCCACGCTCACCGCGACGCTCCCCACCTCCCGTTCCTGCGCTCGTCGCCGCTGGCGCCGCAGGTACAACAAGAACCTGCACGACGCCAGCACGATGGGCATGAAGAAGGCCGTCGCCACCAACCTGTCGTTCGGACTCACGCAGTTCATCATCTTCGGCTCGTACGCCCTCGCCTTCTGGTACGGCACCAAGCTGGTGATTGAAGAGCCCGAGAACTACACCATCGGACGCGTGCTCATCGTGAGTCGCACCGCAGCACCACCGCTCCCACCAGTCTCGGATTGCCAAGGTCACAATGCACCGTCACAACACCTCCAACCGTCACCACCACCACCGCCACCACCGCACCACCTTGGATTGCCAAGGTCACAATGCACCATCACAACACCTCCAACCACCACCACACCACCACCTTGGATTACCAAGGTCACAATGCACCGTCACACCACCACCGCCACCACCACCGCACCACCACCTTGGATTACCAAGGTCACAATGCACCGTCACAACACCTCCATCCACCACTGCCACCACCACCGCCACCACCACCGCACCACCACCTTGGATTACCAAGGTCACAATGCACCGTCACAACACCTCCATCCACCACCGCCACCACCACCGCACCACCACCTTGGATTGCCAAGGTCACAATGCACCATCACAACACCTCTATCCGCCACCACCGCCGCACCACCTTGGCTGCAGAGTTTGGTAATGCATGTTGCTTACGTCGTTTATTGTGAAAATTCGGTCACAGTTCCACGGTTTCATTGCTTTTATGGCTTTATTTTGGTGATTTTCGAAAAGTTTTTGTGTTTGGTCATGTTTGTTTGTTGTAGTACAGAGTTGGACTGATGGCCTTAATCTAAGTTGTCTTGTTGTTGTTGTTGTTGTTTAACTTGCATCCCATTGGGATTTTTGCACACAACGTTAGTGTACGGTGCTTTTTCTGCAATATTTTGCTGTCTTTTCTTGGATCTTCTGTTTACGCATAGTCACTATAAGATGTATTCTTGTTCATGTTTTCGTTTTTTGTTTGTTGCGGTTGTACCCGATTTCAAGAGCCGAATGGCTCACAGGGCTACACCTAATACATGAACTTGAACTTGGATTACCAAGGTCACAATGCACCGTCACAACACCTCCAACCGCCACCGCCACCACCGCACCACCACCTTGGATTACCAAGGTCACAGGGCATACGCTGTGAATCTTTTGCCTTTTGCCTTCTGCAGGTGTTTTTCTCCGTCCTCATTGGCGCCTTCTCGCTGGGACAAGGAGCTCCTAACCTGGAGAGCTTCTCCAACGCCCGCGGTGCGGCGTTCACCATCTTCCAGATCCTAGACAAGGTGACGCCACCGACACAGATATCCGTGGCCTCTACATACACACAAAAAAAACACTTGCTGTTGGGGCAAGTGCTGTTAGCGAGCGGCACCTATGAAGGCCGACACGGCACACTCACCTACTCACTCGCCCAATCACTCGCCCAATCACTTGCCCAATCACTCGCCCAATTACTCGTCCACTCACTCATTCACCCACTCGCAAAGACAAAGATCCCCCGTGTAGCCTTAACATGCTGTTGGGGCAAGTGCTGTTAGCGAGCGGCACCTACGAAGGCCGAAACGGCACACTCACCTACTCACTCGCCCAATCACTCGCCCAATTACTCGCCCACTCACTCACCCACTCGCAAAGATAAAGATCCCCCGTGTAGCCTTAACATGCTGTTGGGGCAAGTGCTGTTAGCGAGCGGCACCTACGAAGGCCGAAACGGCACACTCACCTACTCACTCGCCCAATCACTCGCCCAATTACTCGCCCACTTACTCACCCACTCGCAAAGATAAAGATCCCCCGTGTAGCCTTAACATGCTGTTGGGGCAAGTGCTGTTAGCGAGCGGCACCTATTTAAGGCCGGCACGGCACACAAGGGGGTGGGTGGCCAGCACCACGCCAGGCCGCCTTTGTCTCCCTCGTGGCGACGTTTACACACCGCGCCAGGTATATACACACACGCACAGTTCAATCCACCAGCACTGGGGGGGGGGGGGGGGGGGGGAGGGGGGTGGCGGTGTGCGAGACATGGACAGATTAATTTCGTTAGAAGGTAATTCATCGAAAACACAAATTAAGCATGGGGCATGTAAGTTGCAGCGTACTTTGTTTCATCAGACCCTACACGTTTTTATTTAACATTGCACATTGTCTTGAATGATTGACAACCAAAAAAGATGTTGCAATGCTGCAAGAAGTAAAGGTTGGAGAGAACCACTGTGCCTAAACTGGTGTCTGCGAGCTTGCGAACCATCGCGCAAACTCCGATCATTCCCCCCGAGCATCAGTAGCGGCGGCTTTCAGATGCGCTGCTTCTGTGGCCGTCTGGAACGCTCTTCCCCTTCCGATATTAGGAAGCCATTGGGAGGCTATGCACTTAAAAATCACCATGATCTCGATTGCAAACTCGTCTCTTTAAAACTGCCTTTTGTGTGTGTGTTAGTTTTGGTTGTCCTTCTCCCGCACCTTTGATTAGTGCGGTGCAAAATAAGTTCAACATAGACGCATCGCGGGCCACCTGGTTCAACCAATAATAGTTCACCAGCATCGGTTTCGGGCAAGCCTCCTGCCTGCCTCTGATGACGACGATGACGATGAGGCACCGAATGTCAAAACCGGCCCAGAGCTTTTGCTATGACGATGATGACTACGATGATAGTGACGACGACTGCTGATGATGATGATGATGCTGATGATGCTGATGATGGTTGTACGCACAGCCCCGCCCCATAGACAGCAGTTCCGATGATGGGTTCAAGCCGGAGCGGATCAAAGGCGACATCTCATTCAGAAACATCCACTTCTCTTACCCCTCCCGGCCTGACGTGCAGGTACCCCGCCGCTCGCCACTCACCACCCCGCCGCTCACCACTCACCACCCCGCCGCTCACCACTCACCACCCCGCCGCTCACCACTCACCACCCCGTCGCTCACCACCCCCGCCGCTCACCACTCACCACCCCGTCGCTCACCACCCCATCACTCGTCACTCACCACCCCCGCCGCTCACCACTCACCACCCCGTCGCTCACCACCACGTCGCTCATCACTCACCACCCCGTCGCTCACCACTCACCACCCCGTCGCTCACCACCCCGCCGCTCACCACTCACCACCCCGTCGCTCACCACCCCATCACTCATCACTCACCACCCCGTCGCTCACCGCCACGTCACTCACCACCCCATCACTCACCACTCACCACCCCGCCGCTCACCACTCACCACCCCGCCGCTCACCACTCACCACCCCGTCGCTCACCACCCCCGCCGCTCACCACTCACCACCCCGTCGCTCACCACCCCATCACTCGTCACTCACCACCCCCGCCGCTCACCACTCACCACCCCCGTCGCTCACCACCACGTCGCTCATCACTCACCACCCCGTCGCTCACCACTCACCACCCCGTCGCTCACCACCCCGCCGCTCACCACTCACCACCCCGTCGCTCACCACCCCATCACTCATCACTCACCACCCCGTCGCTCACCGCCACGTCACTCACCACCCCATCACTCACCACTCACCACCCCATCGCTCATCACTCACCACCCCCGTCGCTCACCACTCACCACCCCCGTCGCTCACCACTCACCACCCCATCACTCATCACTCACCTCCCTGCCGCTCACCACTCACCACCCCATCACTCATCACTCACCACCCTGCCGCTCACCACTCACCACCCCATCACTCATCACTCGCCACCCTGCCGCTCACCACCCCATCGCTCACCACCTCCGTCGCTCACCACTCACCACCACATCGCTCACCACTCACCACCCCATCACTCATCACTCGCCACCCTGCCGCTCACCACCCCATCGCTCACCACCTCCGTCGCTCACCACTCACCACCCCGCCGCTCATCACTCACCACCACATCGCTCACCACCTCCGTCGCTCACCACCTCCGTCACTCACCACTCACCACCCCATCACTCATCACTCACCGCCCCGTCGCTCACCACCCCATCGCTCACCACCCCCGCCGCTCACCACCCCCGCCGCTCACCGCCTTATCACCGTCTCTTTATCACCATCTCCACCTCGTCAAGACCACCCCATCGCTGACACTGCATCAGTGCCTCCACCTCATCACCAACGTGAGATCCTCATGGGATATTGAGGGATTTTATGGGATTTTATGGGATTGTGTGGGATTGAGGGATTGTGTGAGATTGTGAGGGATTCTATGGGATTGTGTGGGATTGTATGAGATTGTGTGGGATTGAGGGATTTAATGGGATTGTGTGGGATTGAGGGATTTAATGAGATTGTGTGGGATTGCGGCTAGATTCTGTTGGATTGTGTGGGATTGTGTAGGATTGAGGGATTTTATGGGATTGTGAGGGATTCTATGGGATTGTGTGGGATTGAGGGATTGTGTGAGATTGTGAGGGATTCTATGGGATTGTGTGGGATTGTATGAGATTGTGTGGGATTGAGGGATTTAATGGGATTGTGTGGGATTGAGGGATTTAATGAGATTGTGTGGGATTGCGGCTAGATTCTGTTGGATTGTGTGGGATTGTGTGGGATTGAGGGATTTTATGGGATTGTGTGGGATTGTGAGGGATTCTATGGGATTGTGTGGGATTGTATGAGATTGTGTGGGATTGAGGGATTTTATGGGATTGTGTGGGATTGCGGCTATATTCTGTTGGATTGTATGATATTGTGTGGGATTGTGAGCGATTGTGTGGGATTGAGGGATTCCAGGGGGATTCTATGGCATTACGACTGGCTTCTAATGGGATTGCGAGTAGCTGTAAATCATTGCGTGAGGGATCCCATCGGAGTTGTGAGAGATTGCGCGGGGATCTTGCTGGGATTGCGTGGGACGGTGAGAGGTCATATTCAAGGGTTTGCTACCGTGGGGCCCGCAGATCCTCAAGGGGCTGAACTTGGAGGTGGAGAGCGGCAAGACGATCGCCCTGGTGGGCAGCAGTGGCTGCGGCAAGAGCACCACCATCCAGTTGCTGCAGAGGTTCTACGACCCCGGCGCTGGCGAGGTGCGTGCGTGTGCGCGTGTGCACGTGTGTCGGGGAGCGGTGGTGGTAGCGGTTAGCGCGCTGCGCTACGAACCCGGCGACCCGGGTTCGATTTCCGCTCGCGGCCAACACCAGTGACGATTATCTGAGCCGGTCCTGGGCCCTGCCCTAGGTCGACTCGGCCTTGAATGAGTACCTGGTGCGGTGTAGTAAACATCGCCACTGGAGAGACAAAGACGGCCGGGCGTGGTGCTGGCCACCTACCCCCCTCGTGTGCCGTGCCGGCCTTCATAGGTGCTGCTACTCGCTGACAGCACTTGCCCCTACAGTCTGTTACAGGCTGTACAGGGGGATCTTTGTATTTTTGTGTGTGCACGTGTGTGTATGTGTGTGTTTAACGGTGGTTCAGCGGTTGGTCCTGTCAGCTGGTGTGGTCCTGTCAGCTGGTGTGATCCTGTCAGCTGGCGCGAAGTCTCTTGCTCGCTGGCGTGGTCCTGTCCGGCACCAGCAGTGGCAGCGTTGATCGGGGCGGCCTTGCAGGGCTGCGCCTCTCTCCACGTGACTCACCCCCCGCACCCCCCCCCCAACTTCCCCCCTCGCAGGTGCTGGTGGACGGTCGCGACGTGCGCTCGCTGGGCGTGCGCTGGCTGCGCGAGCACATCGGCGTCGTGAGCCAGGAGCCGGTGCTCTTCGCCGCCACCATCGGCGAGAACATCCGGCACGGGCGCCAGGACGCCAGCGACGCCGACGTAGAGCGAGCGGCGCACGAGGCCAACGCCTTCGACTTCATCTCGCGCCTGCCCGAGGTGCCCCCCCCCCCGCGTCCCCCCCTCCCCCCCTCCCCCCGCGTTGTGTCGCCCGTGTCACATGTGGCAGCAGTCGGTCGGTCGCCCCGCTCGCGTGCGCCGGTCAGGCTCGCAGACCTGCTGAGCCTCCTGGGTCAGGCGTGACGGGGCGTGGTGGTTCGCTCGCCGGCTTTGGGGGGGGGGGCTTCGTTTCTCACCACTCGCCCTCCCCCCAGCTTGTTTGGGGTGGTGGGGGGCGGGCCGGGGTTCAATCTTAATTTTGGACGATCACCCCTCTCTGTACCTGTGTTGCTCTCTCTATGCATCTTGGTGATATCTGTTGCTTATATGTCTGCCTATAGTTTTCTGGTTAGATTTTATGTCGCTATTTCATTATACCTGATGATGATTGCTTGTGTTGTGATCGAAACGTCGTATGCTATTATTTAATTTATTATTTTACCTTTATACGTGACTTTACCGAAAGAACCAAAGAATATGAGCCGGGGTTGTGTTACGGTGCGTAACTGTCGGCGCTCGTTCCCAAGCGCTGTGAGCAAAGGTTCGAAGCTTTCGCGACTGCAGGAATCCATACTCTTTGCTTCTTTCGGTAACCATGATTGCTTGTGTTGCAATCGAAACGTCGTGATTGATTTATTTTATTTTCTACCCACGTGACTTTACCGAAAGTGTGGAGATCAAAGGTGTTTTGCGGGGATGTGTCGGTTGGAACTTGTTCGAATCGCTTTGACGGCAAAAACGTTGGGTGACTTCTGTGCCAACACCACCACCACCTCCTCCTCCACCTCCGATAATGATGATGGTGGTGACATCAACTGCCACGCCTGAGAGAGGCCGCGGCAATTGCGTCACCCCCCCTCGCTCCACCGTGAATTTGCACGCGTCCATCGCTTGGGGGTTGGGGGGGGGAGGGGGGAGGAGAGAGCGGAGGTGCAGCGGTTAGCGCACGCGAACCCGGCAAGAGATTGCTTCCCCGTTGACTTCCCGCTCGCGCGGCCAATAACCGGGTGTCTGAACGGGGTTCCCCTCCACTAAGTCGGCTCGGCCTGAAATGAGTACCTGGTACGGTGTGTAGTGGATTTTTTGTCCGGCTCCTTCCGTTTTTCCCCTCCACATTTAGAGTCGACATGACCACGCTTTTCGAGTCATCGGCTGCTTTGGATTCCCACACGATAAGCCACCGATCAGTCGAGCGATCCTTCGCGAGAGCCGGTCGCTGCTGAAAACGAGCTAGGCGACCAGCTCAGTGGTCCTTACCTCGTAAAGAATAAAACACTTGCCCCCCCATAGTGTTGTGTGGGCCACACGGGGTGATGCAGAGGTTCCTTGCTCGTGTTTGTATCGGTTACACATCCATTGTGTTTGTGTAAGGCGAGCCGAGCCGCCTCGCTTGTGACATTTGACATGATACCCGGCACACTCACGCCAAGCAAAGACAAAGATCCCCCGTGGAGCCTTTAGCCGACTGTTGGGGCAAGTGCTGTGAGCTAGTGGCACCTACGAAGGTCGGTACGGCGCACGAGGGGGGGGGGTGCTTGGGAACACCACGCCTGGCCGCCTTTGTCTCCCCAGTGGTGATGATTAACCACACTACCGCACCAGGTACTCATTTGTTGACCGAGGGGATGCCAACACCGCGAGCGGGAATCAAACTCGGGTGGCCGGGTTCGTAGCGTTAACCGCTAGCGCCACCACTCACGCCCCCCCCCCCCCCGCCTCCACCACTGGGCCACTCGCCACCACCACCGCCACCACCGCCACAACCACCGCCCCCCACCATTGTCACAACCACTGGGCCTCCCACCGCCACCACCACAACCACTGGGCCACCCACCACCTCCCCCACCACCGCCACAACCACTGGGCCATCCACCACCACCACCACTGCCACAACCACTGGGCCACCCACCACCACCACAACCACTGGGCCACCCACCACCTCCCCCACCACCGCCACAACCACTGGGCCACCCACCACAACCACCACCACCGCCACAACCACTGGGCCACCCACCGCCGCCCCCACCACCGGCCCCCACAACCACTGGGCCACCCACCGCCCCCACCACCGTCTCGTGCTAAATTTAACCCGAGCACAGCAGCAGCAGCAGGGGCTGCAGAACCGGTTTCTTTTAAGACAAAAAAGTAAAAACCCGCGCGGCTCTCCTCGGCTCTCCCTACCTTTGAAATGCGACTGTACCAGGTTCTGTTTTATAATAAACGGATTCTTAAAATTCTTGGCACGGATGCCCCCCCCCCATTCCTGTACATTTAATAGGGGGGGGTAGCAGATTATGCCCGAGTCCCTGAACTTACGTAATGCTTGACATCTTCACCAGCAGCAGTGGTCTACCTACTGCTGGATGAAGGCCCCCATCGTTAGCCGTGGTCTACCTACTGCTGGATGAAGGCCACCATCGTTAGCCGTGGTCTACCTACTGCTGGATGAAGGCCCCCATCGTTAGCCGTGGTCTACCTACTGCTGGATGAAGGCCACCATCGTCAGCCGTGGTCTACCTACTGCTGCATGAAGGCCGCCCCCATCGTCAGCCGTGGTCTACCTACTGCTGGATGAAGGCCACCATCGTCAGCCGTGGTCTACCTACTGCTGCATGAAGGCCACCATCGTCAGCCGTGGTCTACCTACTGCTGGATGAAGGCCACCATCGTCAGCCGTGGTCTACCTACTGCTGGATGAAGGCCACCATCGTCAGCCGTGGTCTACCTACTGCTGGATGAAGGCCACCATCGTCAGCCGTGGTCTACCTACTGCTGGATGAAGGCCACCATCGTCAGCCGTGGTCTACCTATTGCTGCATGAAGGCCGCCCCCATCGTCAGCCGTGGTCTACCTACTGCTGGATGAAGGCCACCATCGTTAGCCGTGGTCTACCTACTGCTGGATGAAGGCCCCCATCGTCAGCCGTGGTCTACCTACTGCTGGATGAAGGCCGCCCCCATCGTTAGCCGTGGTCTACCTACTGCTGGATGAAGGCCACCATCGTTAGCCGTGGTCTACCTACTGCTGGATGAAGGCCACCATCGTCAGCCGTGGTCTACCTACTGCTGCATGAAGGCCGCCCCCATCGTCAGCCGTGGTCTACCTACTGCTGGATGAAGGCCACCATCGTTAGCCGTGGTCTACCTACTGCTGGATGAAGGCCCCCATCGTCAGCCGTGGTCTACCTACTGCTGGATGAAGGCCGCCCCCATCGTCAGCCGTGGTCTACCTACTGCTGGATGAAGGCCACCATCGTTAGCCGTGGTCTACCTACTGCTGGATGAAGGCCCCCATCATCAGCCGTGGTCTACCTACTGCTGGATGAAGGCCGCCCCCATCATTAGCCGTGGTCTACCTAGTGCTGGATGAAGGCCACCATCATTAGCCGTGGTCTACCTAGTGCTGGATGAAGGCCACCATCATTAGCCGTGGTCTACCTACTGCTGGATGAAGGCCGCCCCCATCATTAGCCGTGGTCTACCTAGTGCTGGATGAAGGCCACCATCATTAGCCGTGGTCTACCTACTGCTGGATGAAGGCCACCATCGTTAGCCGTGGTCTACCTACTGCTGGATGAAGGCCACCATCGTTAGCCGTGGTCTACCTACTGCTGGATGAAGGCCCCCATCATTAGCCGTGGTCTACCTACTGCTGGATGAAGGCCCCCATCGTTAGCCGTGGTCTACCTACTGCTGGATGAAGGCCCCCATCATTAGCCGTGGTCTACCTACTGCTGGATGAAGGCCACCATCATTAGCCGTGGTCTACCTACTGCTGGATGAAGGCCCCCATCATTAGCCGTGGTCTACCTACTGCTGGATGAAGGCCCCCATCATTAGCCGTGGTCTACCTACTGCTGGATGAAGGCCCCCATCATTAGCCGTGGTCTACCTACTGCTGGATGAAGGCCACCATCATTAGCCGTGGTCTACCTACTGCTGGATGAAGGCCACCATCGTTTGCCGTGGTCTACCTACTGCTGGATGAAGGCCCCCATCATTAGCCGTGGTCTACCTACTGCTGGATGAAGGCCCCCATCGTAAGCCGTGGTCTACCTAGTGCTGGATGAAGGCCGCCCCCATCGTTAGCCGTGGTCTACCTACTGCTGGATGAAGGCCACCATCATTAGCCATGGTCTACCTACTGCTGGATGAAGGCCACCATCGTTAGCCGTGGTCTACCTACTGCTGGATGAAGGCCCCCATCATTAGCCGTGGTCTACCTACTGCTGGATGAAGGCCCCCATCATTAGCCGTGGTCTACCTACTGCTGGATGAAGGCCACCATCATTAGCCGTGGTCTACCTACTGCTGGATGAAGGCCACCATCGTTAGCCGTGGTCTACCTACTGCTGGATGAAGGCCACCATCATTAGCCGTGGTCTACCTACTGCTGGATGAAGGCCACCATCATTAGCCGTGGTCTACCTACTGCTGGATGAAGGCCCCCATCGTTAGCCGTGGTCTACCTAGTGCTGGATGAAGGCCACCATCGTTAGCCGTAGTCTACCTACTGCTGGATGAAGGCCCCCATCATTAGCCGTGGTCTACCTACTGCTGGATGAAGGCCACCATCGTTAGCCGTGGTCTACCTACTGCTGGATGAAGGCCCCCATCATTAGCCGTGGTCTACCTACTGCTAGATGAAGGCCCCCATCGTCAGCCGTGGTCTACCTACTGCTAGATGAAGGCCCCCATCGTCAGCCGTAATCTACCTACTGCTGGATGAAGGCCACCATCATTAGCCGTGGTCTACCTACTGCTGGATGAAGGCCCCCATCGTCAGCCATGATCTACCTACTGCTGGATGAAGGCCCCCATCGTTAGCCGTGGTCTACCTACTGCTGGATGAAGGCCGCCACCATCGTTAGCCGTGGTCTACCTACTGCTGGATGAAGGCCACCAAGCTTCATGGGTGACGACGGCGATGATACCGGTCACTGCAGTCAGCTACCAAGCGTGGCGAAGAGCTAGACAGCTCCGCGGGGCTTTGCCCGACGAATCGTTTTTGACAGCCGGCGTGTGGCACGGCGCGTGGGACACAAAAAACACTCGTCTGGGAACCAAGTCGCGTTTTTCTTGTTTTATTTTTGGTACGAGCATCAAGATGCCGCGGGGGTGGGAGGGGGGGTGCAGTTGGGATCTCGGGGCCCGATTTTGTCGCTTTGAAAGAATGCAACCCGACTTGCGGACGCCGTGACGGGAACGTACCTACGACGGCGCCTCCTCGTATCGCTTACAAATGTGCAGATTTTCAAGGTCTCAAGATTCGGATCTGCCTCGTAAGAGACAATTATACTTGCGCGTGTGTGTGCGTGCGTGTGAGGTGTGTGCGTATGTATGTTGGCAGAGGGAGGGCGGCACAGGCGGTAAACCCACGGCACCGTGACCTCCTGCCAGTTCACGTGGCCTCCTGCCAGTTCACGTGGCCTTGACGTGCACATGGCCTGGCACAAGCGCTGTGGTGACGTTACCGCCACTTAGTGGCGAATGACGGGTGTTATTATATGTGTGTATGTATGTGTGGGGAGTGGTAGTGCAACGGTTAACCCGCTGCGCTACGAACCCACCAGTGGCGATCATCCTAATCGGTTCGGCGTCTCCCCTAGGTCCACTTGGCCTCAAATGAGTACCTGGGGCGGTGTCTAAACATTGCCACTAGAGAGACAAAGGTGGAAGGGCGTGGTGTTGGCCACCCACCTCCCTCGTGTGCCGACTCGCTAACAGCACTTGCGCCAACAGCCTCTGAAGGCTACACGGGGGATCTTTGTCTTTGTTATATATGGGGTAGCAGGGACAGCGGTTTGCGTGCTGCGCTAAGATCTGAAAAAGGTTGTCGATTATTGTGATCATCATTTATATACACAAATGACGATCGCGTATTGAATTATGTTCGTGTAACGCATACTTTGGCCAGCATTGAGATACAAGTCTGGTCTGGTCTTAAGAGTGGCGGCAGTCACATGGTGCACAAATTTGTAGTAGTCACATGTTACAGAGGGTGGGGGCAGTCACGTGGCACAGAGGGTGATGACGGTGACATGGTGGTACACAAATTTGTAGTAGTCACATGTTACAGAGGGTGGGGGCAGTCACGTGGCACAGAGGGTGATAACGGTGACATGGTGGTACACAAATTTGTAGTAGTCGCATGTTACAGAGGGTGGGGGCAGTCACGTGGCACAGAGGGTGATGACGGTGACATGGTGGTACACAAATTTGTAGTAGTCACATGTTACAGAGGGTGGGGGCAGTCACGTGGCACAGAGGGTGATGACGGTGACATGGTGGTACACAAATTTGTAGTAGTCACATGTTACAGAGGGTGGCGGGCAGTCACGTGGCACAGAGGGTGATGACGGTGACATGGTGGTACACAAATTTGTAGTAGTCACATGTTACAGAGGGTGGCGGCAGTCACGTGGCACAGAAGGTGATGACGGTCACATGGTGGTACACAAATTTGTAGTAGTCACATGTTACAGAGGGTGGGGGCAGTCACATGGCACAGAGGGCGATGACGGTCACATGGTGGTACACAAATTTGTAGTCGCATGTTCAAGAGGGTGGCGGCAGTCACGTGGTAGTCACGTGGCAGTCACACGGCACACACACACACGGAGGGTGCCAGCGGTAACGTGTTGGCGCCATGTCCTGCCCTTCCAGAAATTCAACACGATGGTGGGCGAGCGCGGGGCGCAGCTGTCGGGCGGACAGAAGCAGCGCATCGCCATCGCGCGCGCCCTCGTGCGCAACCCCAAGATCCTGCTGCTGGACGAGGCAACGTCGGCGCTCGACACGGAGAGCGAGGCCGTCGTGCAGTCCGCCCTCGACAAGGTCTCACTTCGGTCCCTCCGGGGGCGCCGGAGAAACAGCGGCACCGAGTTTATCACAAACTCTGTGTGCGAGCGAGCGAGGCGTGCGTGCGTGAGCGAGCGGTGGGTGTGAAGAAGCAATTGGTGTCTGGGGGGGGGGGGGGGTCGCCAGTGGGCCGTGAGCGGACTCGCGCAGAGACCCTTCGACCAGCACAGAGACTCGGACTCGCGTAGAGAATCACAGACTCGCACAGAGACTCGGACTCGCGTAGAGAATCACAGACTCGCACAGAGACTCGGACTCGCGTAGAGAATCACAGACCAGCACAGAGACTCGGACTCGCGTAGAGAATCACAGACTCGCACAGAGACCCGTAGACCAGCACAGAGACTCGGACTCGCGTAGAGAATCACAGACTCGCACAGAGACCCGTAGACCAGCACAGAGACTCGGACTCACGTAGAGAATCACAGACTCGCACAGAGACCCGTAGACCAGCACAGAGACTCGGACTCGCGTAGAGAATCACAGACTCGCGCAGAGACCCTTCGACCAGCACAGAGACTCAGACTCGCGTAGAGAATCACAGACTCGCGTAGAGGGTCGCAGACTACCACAGACTGGCAATCGAGCGGCACACTAGACATCGCCATGCGAGTGGTGGATCGCTCTCCACCGCCGTCACGATTGGACTCTCATGCGAGGGAGTCACTGCCTCCTCCTCCTCCGCTCGACATTTTCCTTCGCCGCTGCCATCGTCGCTTGCAGGCTCGCCAAGGCCGCACGACGATCGTCATCGCCCACCGGCTGTCGACGATCCGCACTGCCGACGTCATCGCCGGCTTCAACGACGGCGTCGTGGTGGAGCAGGGCTCGCACGCAGAGCTTATGGAGCGCCGCGGCATCTACCACCTCCTCGTCACCCAGCAGGTGCTCCCCCACCCGCCGCACGGAGCGCGCGGGTACGCCGATGCAGCGCGGAGCGCCCGACCGTATGACCGCATGCAGCAGTAGCCGCCGTTCGCCACTATGTGGCGGTGACGTCACCACGGTGCCTGTGCCAGGCTATGTGCACTCCGAGGGCACGTAAAGTGTCGAAGGCTCAGTGGTAGGAGGTCACGGGGCAGACCCAGCACACACACACACAAACGCACACGCACACAGACACGCACACAAGCACACACACAAGCACACACGGGACAGACCCCAGGTGCCACGGCTCGACTGAGATGATTGGCAGATGCAGCAGCTGTGCCCCCTACTGTGCAAACTTACCACTGCCGCATGCAAAGACTAAATACAAAGATTCCCCCATGTAGCTTTAAGACTGTTGGGGCAAGTGCTGTTAGCGAGTAACACCACGCCCGGCCGCCTTGGTCTCTGTCGTGGCGATGTTTACACACCGCAACAGTCGACCTAGGTGAGGCCCAGCACTGGTTCAGATAATCGTCACACACGTGCACGGTCACATGTGCGGACTCAAGATGCCAGACCAGTTCACCGCGCTGCCTGTGGAGCCTCCCAGATAATTGATGGCAATTTTTTTACATTCTTCAAATCATTGGGGCGTCTGGATGTGGGCACAGCTTTTTGACGCGAGCAGCTCACAAAATCAAACGTCGAATTCGCATGCCGGTCATGGGGGCCGGCTCGACTCATCGTCATCATCATCGTCGTCGTCGTCGTCGCACCTCCGCATGAGCGCGGTTGGCTCCGTAGGGTGCGAAAGAAGTTCAACAGTCGTGCGTAACTTGCGCAGCATCCCTCTGGAGCCGACGGTCAAACGAGTGGTGCCACTGCGTGGCCAAGCCGTGGGCCGGAGTTGCTTTAACCGCGATGTATTCCGTCCTCCGGCCAGACGCTGGGACAGGATCCTGACGAGGAGGGCGCCGCGGATTTAGAAAACTTGGAGGACGAGGACGACGACGAGATCAATGATGATGCGGTGGAGGACGAGGAGGAGGAGGAGGATATCGTGTTGGAGGACGACCACGAGGTGGTGGCTACCGGCTCGCTCCACCCCGGGCAGGACTCGAACCACGGCGCGCCGGGCGACGCGGCGTCGCTGGCGGGGGCGTCGTTCCGTGACGGCGCGAGCTCTCGACGGTCGCAGAGGACGGCGAAGATGAGCCGGGCGGAGAAGAGGCAGAGGAAGAAGAAGAGGAAGGCGGAGCAGGGAGAGAAAGCCAAGAGCCAGAAGGAGCTGGAGAAGGAGGAGGTTTGGACTTTTTATTTTATTGTATTTCCCCTCTTGTTGGTTCTTTCGGTGAAGTCACGTAGAAGGGAAATAATAAAAAAAAACATAATTAAATAATTCTCACGACGTTTCGGCCACAACGGCAAGCAGCCGTCCTCAGGTGAAGAGCAGGTCTGTCGAGAAGACAGCGTCTGACCTGTTCTTCACCTGAGGACGGCTGAAACGGCGTGAGAATAATTTTATTATGTTTTATTTTTATTATTTTATTATTTCCCTTCTACGTGACTTTACCGAAAGAATCAAGAAGATGAATCCCTGCAGTCACGAAAGCTTTAAATCGAAATTTATTCATATTTTATAATGTTGTATTGTTATTATTCTATTATTTCCCTTCTACGTGACTTTACCGAAAGAACCAAGAAGATGAATCCCTGCAGTCACGAAAGCTTTACATCGAAATTTATTTCCCCTATCGAGTGAAATGCCCCCGCGGCATCGGGATGTCGCTGCCCCCGCCCCCGAGCAACCGCTGGTTAGGTGCTCGCTAACCTTCATAGCTGCTCGCATCACTCGCCCCAACCGCTCTGCAATGGCTACACGCGGGAATCTTTGTTTGTGGTGTAGCGGTAGAGTAGTGGTTAGCGCCACGCTACAAACCCCGGCGACCAGAGTTCGATTCCCGCTCACGGCCGACACCCGGTGACGATTATCTAAACCGGTCCTGGGCCCTTCCCTAGGTCAACTCGGCCTCAAATGAGTACCTGGTGCAGTGTGTAAAACATCAGCACTGGGGGAGACAAAGGCGGCCGGGCGTGGTGCTGACCACCCACCTGCTCGTGTGCCGTGCCGGCCTTCATTGGTGCTCGCTAACAGCACTTGCCCCTACAGTTTGTTAAGGCTATACGGGGGAATCTGCGTGTTCATGTGTGTCTTTGTGTTTGTCCGTGTGTCCGTGTGTGTAGGAGGCGGAGCTTCCAACAGTGAAGTACTCCCAGATCTTGGCGATGAACCGCCCGGAATGGCACTTCCTGGTGATCGGCGTCGTGGCGGCGATTGTGAGCGGCGGGGTGCAGCCGGCGTTCGCCGTCTTTTTTGCCAAAATCATCGGGGTGAGAGAGAGCGAGAGAGCACGAGAGAGAGCGAGAGAGAGAACGAGAGTACTTGCTCCGGCAGTACATATACTAAAATTGGAACGATACAGAGAAGATTAGCATGGCCCCTGCACAAGGATGACACGCAAATTCGTGAAAAAAAAAGGAGAGACAGAACATGCGAGAGAGAGAGAGAGAGACTTGGCCGCCTCTTTGCGTGCAGCAGTTTTTTTTATGTTTTAAATCCCCCCCCCTTGCACACGTGGGGTTTTCTCCCCTTGCCCACGTGGTTAACGAGCTGTGTGTGTGGAGAGGTTTGCCACACTGGTGGACACGGTAGAGGAGCAGTGGTGGTGGTGGTAGGGGGGGGACCGGTGGTGGAGTGGCTGGCTACGCTGCGCTACGAAGTTCGATTTCCCGCTCACGGTCAACACCCGGCAATGATTATCTCAAACTGGTCCTGGGCCTCCCGCCCCCCCCCCCTAGGTCGATTCGACCTGGTGTGGTGTGTAAAAAGTAAAAAAAACACAATGCCACCGGGGAGACAAAGGCGGCCGGGCACGGCGGTGTTGACCACCCCACCACCCCCTCGTGTGACGTGCCGGCCTTCGTGGGCTCCGCTCGCCATCACAACAACTTTCCCCAGCAGTCCGTTTGGGCTAAACGGGGGGAACCTTTGTCCGTGTCCCGTCACCCAGGTGTTTAACGAACCAGACGCACAGGTGAAGAGCACCAAGACGATCACCTACTCGCTCATCTTCCTGCTCCTGGGCGCCATCAGCTTCGTCTCCTACTTCCTGCAGGTGAGCCCTGCACCCCCCACCCCCCCGGGCACCTTGGCAGGCTGACCCACAGATCCCACGTCGTGCCCGCTCAGCAGTGCTCGTCCCTAAGGGGACGTCCATAAATGACGTCACGAACCTGGGGGGGGGGGGTCAGACATTTGTGACGGTGTGACGAGGGGGGGGGGGTGAGAAATGAGACGTCATACGCAACTTTAAATAAATATAGATACTTTCTACTTAGACTTTGTAATAAATGTTTTCTCCTACAACATCAGAGTGCAGCGCCACATTAAATACGCACTGCAATGACAATACTTTAAAGAGATTTGAAGCATGTTTTATTTTTTTTTGGGGGGGGCAGAGCTTTGTGATGTCATATTTGAGGGGGGGGGGTCAAAAATCGTCAAATCACGTGACATCATTTATGGACGGCCCTGAATGGATATTTCCCGACCCCCCACCCCCACCCCACTAATTGGCGTTTTGTTTACGTCACGAACTTTACTGGCTGTGTCGGGTGGTGGAGGGTCACGACACAATTCTACTTATGCCATCTAACCCAAAAAAACCTTTGCGATTGATTAACTGGTCGCGCAAAGCCCCCCTGCGTCTTAAACGGAGGAGTCTCTGTACGTTGGGGGGGGGGGGGGTCTTTGTTTTCTTTGGGGCTGGTGGTGAAGTGGGTGGTGCTAGTGTCAAAGTGGGTGTGGCCGAATGGCTGAGAGGGAGGGGCCTCCATCTCCACGTGCGTCGTCCCTGTAGAGCCCCTGAGAGGCGTCAACATGAGCGTGTCGTGCGTCTCTCGGCTTTCCCAGGGCGTCATGTTCGGCAAGGCCGGCGAGATTCTCACCATGCGAGTGCGCGGCCGCCTTTTCAAGGCCATACTGCGACAGGTGTGTGTCGTCGTCGTCATCATCGGCAGCGTCGTTGTCATGGTTGTCATCATCATCATGGTCGTCGTCGTCGTCATTATCATGGTTGTCATAGTCATCATTATCATGGTTGTCAGCATTGTCGTCGTCGTTCTCATCATCGTCGTTGTCGTCATCATCATCATCATCAGCGTCGTTGTCATGGTCGTCATCGTCATCATCGTCGTCGTCATGGTTATCATCATCATCGTCATGGTTGTCATCATCATCATCGTTTTTGTCATAATCGTCATGGTTATCATCATCGTCGTCATCATCGTCATGGTTATCATCATCATGGTTGTCATCATCATCATCATGTTTGTCATCGTGGTAATCGTTTGAGCTCGTCGACAGCACTTGCCCCAGCAGATTCTGGAGGCTACACAGAGGGGGGTGGGGAGTGTGGCAGGTTTCTTTACCTTCGCTCCGCGTGCAGGACATCTCCTGGTTCGACGACCACAAGAACGCCGTGGGGGTGCTGACCACACGCCTAGCGACGGATGCCTCGCAAATCAAGGGGGTGAGTGGCGCATTGTGGCGGAGCGCGGCCTTGGAACGCTCGCGTCTTCGTCTGGACGCGGGGCCGATCAGCGGGCAATGTTGTCGTGGCGACAATGCCAAGCGGCGCCGTTATAATGCGGTTAAGTCGCGGTTACGTTGCGGTTAATGATGCTGCGGGTTCGTGTGTGGTGTGTGCCCGTTTGAATGTAGCTGTTGGTAGTGTAACGGGTTCCGGAGACACTTTTAGATGTACTTCTTTATTACAATACAACACTCCAACAGTACTCCAACTCTCCAACAGTCCTGATACTCTGTTACAGCCTAGGTACACAGCTTAGCTACACAACCTAGATCCACTACTCTGGCTACGCTCCGGAACTCGCCCTCACAAGGTCGTAGAGTCGGGAGTTCCAGAGTCCCAGCGCTGGCTCTCACAGCATCCCAGGGTCTTCAGATGGCTGGTCGTGGGTCTTGGGTCTTGAGTTACAACTGGACCCTGATCGTCCAGGGAGCTCTCCTTTTATGCCTGGTCTAACGAGGGGTGGGGCTGTGTGCGCCACCAGACATCCCACAGAGCACACACAGCCCCCCCCCCCCCCCCCGTTGGCGGCGCCAAAAAGGCTTAAGCGCCTGGGAACCCAACGCCTGGCGCCCAGAAGCTTAAGCGTCTGGACCCCCTGGGAACCCAGAGCCCCCAGCAGCCCCTCCCTTCTTATGTCACTACAGTAGCATTAAAATGCGAATCAATTCATAACATTTTTGACATGCGTTTTTCTGGATTTTTTTTAGTGTTATTCTGTCTCTCACCGTTCAAATAAACCAACCATTAAAATTAGACTGATCATTTCTTTGTCAGTGGGAAAACGTACAAAATCAGCGGAGGATCAAATACTTTTTTCCCTCACTGTAATGTGGTTTGTACGATTATATAATGTGTCCCGGTGCAGGGATAACGAGAATGTAATACCGTTATAACAGTCGATGGTTGCGGTCCATAACAGTTCACGTGGTTATTACAGGGTTGTAGCTTTGTTATTTATAACACTGTTACAAGGTGTAGTTATTACATTTATAACAAAGTTGATGCCATTATTACAGGGTTATAACACAGCCGACGACCTAGTTATTACAGGGTTATAACGCATTTGGCTCGTCTATTAGAGTTATAACACAGCCGACGACCTAGTTATTACAGGGTTATAACGCATTTGGCTCGTCTATTAGAGTTATAACACAGCCGACGACCTAGTTATTACAGGGTTATAACTCATTTGGCTCGTGTATTAGAGTTATAACACAGCCGACGACCTAGTTATTACAGGGTTATAACTCATTTGGCTCGTGTATTAGAGTTATAACACAGCCGACGACCTAGTTATTACAGGGTTATAACTCATTTGGCTCGTTTATGAGAGTTATAACACAGCCGACGACCTAGTTATTACAGGGTTATAACTCATTTGGCTCGTCTATTAAAGTTATAACACAGCCGACGACCTAGTTATTACAGGGTTATAACGCATTTGGCTCGTTAATTAGAGTTATAACACAGCCGACGACGTAGCTACAGGGTTCTAACGCAGTTGCCAACGCGTTTTTGTGGTGCAGGCTACGGGGGCTCGCCTGGGCCTGTCTGCGCAGACGCTCGCCAGCCTGGCGACGGGGGTCATCATCGCGTTCGTCTTCGGCTGGCAGCTGTGCCTGCTCATCCTCGCACTCATGCCCATCATCGCCATCTCCACCGTCATCCGCTTCCGTGCCGTGGGCGGCCACGCTAACAAGGATCACACGGCGCTGGAGAATTCCGGCAGGGTGAGGAGGGGCAAAGCGGTGGTTGTGGTAGCAGCCCACTCCATCCCCCACCCACCCACACACACCCCCCAATATGACATGTAAACATAGGGTCAGGTCAATAATAATAACATTGTGATAGGTTTTTACCCTTTCAACTGGTACAAAAACTGACACCTTTATACAAGACATCATGTTTGCAATAACCACAACACAAGCAGTTAAATTGCAAACTAAAATAAATAACTCTGATGATGTCCTTGAAGTTGATTGGTCCACACCCGAGACAGCTTTCCTTAGAGCCTAGTCTCCATTGGTGTTGGACCAGATGACGCCAAAAGGCGTACAACTCAAAAACAGCGCACTATCAGAGTATTGAGAGCTCGGGGTAAGCATTTACTGTAACATGATGCCTTGTATAAAGGTGTCAGTTTTTGTACCAGTTTAAAGGGTTAAAACCTATCACTATATTTTGCCACTGCTAAAGGAGGTCTCGGTGTAATAATAACATTGTACGTGAGCAGAATCAAACACAGGCCGGTATGGCACACAAGGAGATGGGTGGGCCAGCGCCGCACGCCAGGCACTGTTGTTGAATCCCAAGTGCCGATGTTACCACATTGCACCCAGGTACTCGTTTAATGGCGAGTAAACCTAGGGGAGGGCCCAGGCCTGATTACTAACGTAGCATAATCACAATAAAACACATTCCAAATGATTACTAATCTACAACTCGCATCGTAACAACTGCCCGATTACTAATCTAGTATATAATTACAATAACCCGCCCCCCCCCCCCCTCAAATCATTGCACCTGATGAGTTGATGAGTTGATGATGACGTCACCCTGCTGCTGCTGCTCTATATAAGCAGCAGGGTGACGTCATCATTAATTAATGATGACGTCACCCTCCTGCTGCTGCTCTATATAAGAACGGGAGACACAGCAGAGCCTCACCATTCTGGCGAATTGCCCGATGATGCTGGTTGCAATTACCAGCGAAACGTCGTACTACTCAAATTGTAAATGTTGTGGTTTCACGCTTCAACACACCGGTGGGCTAAAGCGGTGAACTAATTGTCTTTTGTCAACGTGACACTTTTTAAATCCTTTATATTAAGTTTGCGTGCTTGCTTGCTTGCTTGCGTGCTTGTTTGCTTGCTTAGGACCATGCAAATCTTTCGGTCGTTTTTTAACCCACTTCCCGTAATCCAATCGAGCTGACATTTTGCACACAGACTCGTTGTGCGAGACAATTAATGTTCGTGAATTTTTTTCTTCCAAAATTTTACACTGATTAGGGAAAACAAATTAAATATTTAATTACCAATTGTTTAATACTGCAGACAATCATCTGACCCAGAGGTGGCAACCATCTCAAGCCAGAGGACGAGAGGACTCTAGCCGCCACGCATATAAAGGATTTACGGGTTAATTTTTTACTGACTGGCCATGTCGGGTGGTGGAGGGTTACGACACATTTATAAATAACGCGATCTAAACCCAAAAACGTTGATTATGAATAATATTGGTCGCGAAAGCCTTACACGTGTTAAACTGGTCCAAATAATCTCCAACGCTATTGGTCGAGCGGGAGTCGAATGCGAGTCGCCAGGTGGTCTGTAGCGCAGTTGCCCTAACCGTTGCGCCACCGCTCCCCACTACCACCCTCTGCCATCATCGCCACCACCACCACCACAAGATGAGTGGCCAACACTTGCACCCGCATGCCAGAGGTCGCAAACGGGTTTTGATTCCTTACCCGTACCCGGCCGCACCAGGGTCGCAAATGGGTACCCGTACCCATACCCGGCCGTACCCGTACCATACCCGTACCCGGCCGGGTACGGGTATCGGGTACCTGATTGCGACCTCTGGGATGAAGCCATGTTGCAGGCGCGGGTGGGTTGATTCTAGGAACTTGAATTGTGAGAAGAGACAAGACGTTGGGAAATGAGTGACAAACAGTTACTCACCAGTGACTCACGGCCTACCCGTACCCATACCCGGCCGCACCAGGGTCGCAAACAGGTACCCGTACCCGGCCGGGTATCGGGTAGGGTATGGGTATCGGGTACCCGGTTGCGACCTCTGCCGCATGCCTATTGTCTCATTTGGCGCTCCGAACTCATCCACCGGAATCCTTGCTCGCGGGAATTATCACAGCGGGTGATAATTATTGGAGCCTCTCCTGGGCCCTCCCCTAGGTTGGCTCGGCCTCAAATTACGACCTAGTGCCGTGTGTAAACATCGGCACGAGGGAGGCGGTGAGGTGTGGGTTCTGGCCACCCGCTCCCCTCGTGCGCTGCGCCAACCTTCGTTGCGTGCCACTCGCTTGCAGCACCTACCCCAAAAGTCTGCTAAGGCTACACGGGGGATCTTTGTGTTTGTTTTGCGTGTGTGTCATCCAGATCAGCACAGAGGCAGTGGAGAACATCCGTACGGTGGTGGGCCTGTGCCGGGAGGATGCCTTCTTCCAGAGCTTTGCAGACAGCTTGGAGGATGTGCACAAGTAATTAACCACAACAACAACAACAACAAAAACCAGTGTCCGGCCACCACCTCTACCCACAGTCACAACCATGAACACGAGCAGAACCACCACTGTCAGCCCCATCCTCGCAATACAATCACTACTGTCACCTCCAATGACCACCACCAATGCAATGACCGTTAATCATGAGGTCACTACCACTGCTGATGTCGTCTTCACAGCGGCCACCACCTCTACCCACAGTCACAACCATGAACACGAGCAGAACCACCACTGTCAGCCCCATCCTCGCAATACAATCACTACTGTCACCTCCAATGACCACCACCAATGCAATGACCGTTAATCATGAGGTCACTACCACTGCTGATGTCGTCTTCACAGCGGCCACCACCTCTACCCACAGTCACAACCATGAACACGAGCAGAACCACCACTGTCAGCCCCATCCTCGCAATACAATCACTACTGTCACATCCAATGACCACCACCAATGCAATGACCGTTAATCATGAGGTCACTACCACTGCTGATGTCGTCTTCACAGCGGCCACCACCTCTACCCACAGTCACAACCATGAACACGAGCAGAACCACCACTGTCAGCCCCATCCTCGCAATACAATCACTACTGTCACCTCCAATGACCACCACCAATGCAATGACCGTTAATCATGAGGTCACTACCACTGCTGATGTCGTCTTCACAGCGGCCACCACCTCTACCCACAGTCACAACCATGAACACGAGCAGAACCACCACTGTCAGCCCCATCCTCGCAATACAATCACTACTGTCACCTCCAATAACCACCACCAATGCAATGACCGTTAATCATGAGGTCACTACCACTGCTGATGTCGTCTTCACAGCGGCCACCACCTCTACCCACAGTCACAACCATGAACACGAGCAGAACCACCACTGTCAGCCCCATCCTCGCAATACAATCACTACTGTCACCTCCAATGACCACCACCAATGCAATGACCGTTAATCATGAGGTCACTACCACTGCTGATGTCGTCTTCACAGCGGCCACCACCTCTACCCACAGTCACAACCATGAACACGAGCAGAACCACCACTGTCAGCCCCATCCTCGCAATACAATCACTACTGTCACCTCCAATGACCACCACCAATGCAATGACCATTAATCATGAGGTCACCACCACTGCTGATGTCGTCTTCACCGCTGCTGCCCCCCCCCCTCCCCCCCCGCCCCCCCCCTCCCCCCCGCCCCCCCCTCCCCCCCCGCCCCCCCCCCTTCCCAGGCAGAGCATGCGCCAGGCCCCGCTTTCCGGCCTCACGTACGGCATCTCCCAGATGATGCTCTACATCATCTACGCCGTCACCTTCCGCTTCGGCGCCTGGCTTGTCGCCAACCAGTACATGACGTTCGAGAACGTCTTCCTGTGAGTCCAAATCCCACTCATCACGTGGTCTTCCTGCGAGTTCAACTCCCCCCCTCCACTGGCGACTTGCCTTCGCCACTTGCGCACTGCCACAAACCAGCGCTGGAGACGATTACCCGAACCGGTCCTGGGCCTCCCCTAGGTTGACTAGAGGCAGTACATGGTGCCGTTGACCACCCACCAACCCCTTGTGCGTCTTGCCGGGCTTCAGCATAATTATAGGTTGCCGCTACTCGTTAAAAGCACCCCCATGAGGTCACACAAGACTTTCATTCAAACACATCTCCCTCTTAACTCCCACCCCCCACCACGACCACCATCACACCACACATCCACCTCCCTCTTCTCCTACTAGGACCGCCACTTCAACCCCCACCACAACCACCAAACAACCTTCCTCTTCCCCGCCCCCCCCCCCCCCCCCCCAGGGTCTTCTCGGCCATCGTCTTCTCGGCGATGTCGGTGGGTCAGACGAGCTCCTTCGCGCCCGACTTCGCCAAGGCTCAGATGTCGGCGCGGCGAGTCTTCGCGCTGCTGGCGCAGGTGCCCTCCATCGACAGCTACAGCGAGGCCGGGTCCGCCCCGCCGGGGGGCGCCCGCGGGCGCGTCGAGTTCCGTGACGTGCGCTTCCGCTACCCGACGCGTCCCGGCGTGCCCGTCCTGCAGGGCCTCAGCGTCGCCGTGGAGCCCGGCCAGACGCTGGCCCTCGTCGGCAGCAGCGGCTGCGGCAAGAGCACCTCGGTGCAGCTCCTCGAGCGCTTCTACGACCCCGCCGATGGCGTTGTGGTGAGTGGTGGTGGGGGGGGTGGGGGGGAGGTGCGAGGGGGGAGCAGAGATTGAGGGCGAGAGGGTGAGGCGAGGGATGGGGAGGAGGGTTATGATGGAGGTTAGGGGCGAGCGAGTTATGGAGGTACACGGCAGAGGTCGCAAACGGGTTTTGATTCCTTACCCGTACTCGGCCGGGTATGGGTACCCGTTTCCTACCCGTACCCTACCCGTACCCTACCCGAAATGAGTGACAAACGGTTACTCACCAGTGACTCGTGGCCTACTCGTACCCATACCTGGCCGCACTAGGGTCGCAAACGGCTACCCGTACCCGTACCTGGCCGGGTACAGGTAGCCGGGTATTGGGCAGGGTACGGGTATCGGGTACCCGGTTGCGACCTCTGGTACACGGCGAGGGATGTTTAAGGGTTAGCAAGAGTCACGGGTGGAGGGGATGGAGGAGGGCGAGGTGTTAGAGCAAGGGCGGTTAGGAGGATTACGGTTTCAGACGGTGCAAGTGAGGGGGTAGAGGAGGGGAGACCGATGGTTATTATGCTGCTGATGATGATTTTGAATGCTGAACTTCTTTGGCACTGTACGTAGCCAACCGTGCATTAAAAAGAAAATCAGAGGTTGTCACAACCTTGTAAACGAGACCGTGTTTCAAAAAAGGGAGGGGCACACAGAAGCGACATGGCCACAGATAATAGCTCAACGAAGTGGCTTTCAAATCACGTGGAAACTCATAGCAGCCAAATACTCTCATAGAATTGCCATGCATTGTATAAAGGGAGCGGGGGGGGGGGGGACTTTAAACCCCCAAACCCTTACCACACATCCTTGTCTGCACACCGACCCCATCCCCCCCCGACCCCCGACCCCCTTCGTGCAGCTGCTGGACGGTGAGGAGCTGCGCACTCTGAGGATCAGCTGGCTGCGACAGCAGATGGGTATCGTGTCGCAGGAGCCCATCCTCTTCGACTGCAGCATCGGCGAAAACATCGCCTACGGGGACAACGAGCGCAGCGTGAGCCACGCCGAGATGCTGGCGGCTGCCCAGGCGGCCAACATCCACAACTTCATCGAGGAGCTGCCCGACGTAAGCCTTCGCGCCACGGCCGCATTGCAGGGCCCACCGCTAAAACCTCCCCGCAAAAGGCCACCGAGTCTAATCACGAGGGTGGGCCCAACCGAACACAGCAAGGCCCCCCCAAATATCACATCAGGTCCACAGGAGCCACCGCAGAAACTTTCAATGTCGTCATTATTATTATTATTATTATACAACGCCTTGCCTCTGTAGGGGTTGTTACGGGGAGAAAGGCGGACAGAAACACAAGGGTGTCTGCACCCACACACGGGTGTCTACATCCACGTCCGCATCGGTTAACCCTGGGGGGGCCATGGGGGCGCTGTGATCCCCCATAGCCCCACCCCTCGGAGAGGATTCCTATAAAAGGCGGGGAGCCAGAGGGCTCGGAGCCAGTGTGTTAGAAGCTTTACCAGTGAAGACTGAAGACCGGCAGAATAGGCCCTGGGACTCCCCTGGCTCGCTGTCCTTGTCAGGGCCGAGCAGGGCAAGCCAGTGGCGCGGCCCCAAGAGCTCCAGGACCGCTGCTCTTGTAAGAGCACGGCCTGGTTAGCTGGGTGCCGGGATCCGTGCTTGACCAGGGCCGGATCAGATAGCCTCCCCTAGCACTGGGAATAGGAGAGTCAGGGAATAGTGCTAGGGGTGTTTCCCATTGAGCACGGGTGAAGGGGCCGTTACCCCTTCAAGTGTTGTTACCGCCTTTTGGTTAAATAAAAGAGTGTGCCTCAACTACGCCATCTGTCTCCCTGAGAACTCACTACACCTCCAAAATGGAAGTTGTTCTAACTCTGCAACTCTGCCTAAACCTGCAGAAATACAACACGCGCGTCGGCGACAAGGGGGCGCAGCTGTCGGGCGGACAGAAGCAGCGCATCGCCATCGCGCGCGCCCTCGTGCGCAACCCCAAGATCCTGCTGCTGGACGAGGCCACGTCAGCGCTCGACACGGAGAGCGAGAAGGTGAGGGTCCCGCCGAAATCGTCACACACGTTTACAAAAAAAAAAAATCGCGCAAATGGTAACACTCGTGGCTCAATGCCAGACGTGCCCTGGGTTCGATTCCCAACCCTCGGGCGCCATTTTTCTGCGCGAAGGTTGTTTGTTCTCAGTGTTTACGGGGTTTTGTTCCACATTCTTATGGTGGTGGCGAAGGGGTAACCACAGTTGACGTCCCCCCACAAAGTGGTACCAATTTTAAATCGACCTGGAGAGAGATGGTTCGTGTCAACCCCAAAACCAGGACTCGATCTCACAACGCTTCCACTTGCGAACCAACTTGCCCTACCACCGACCCACCTGTCCATGGTAGCGAGATGTTAACTACCTCGCCTGATATACAGGAATTTGGTGGGTTTGATGCAGACCCCGACGCCTGTATGTTTGGAGTTTGCATGTTCTCCCCATGGTTGCGTGGATTTTTATTCAGTTTTTTCCCCTCCTCCACAGTTTAGAAGCGTGCCTTTAGAGCATTTGGCTGTTCCACCTAAGCCAATTCGTTGACCTTTCATTTGTGGCCACGTCGCTTCTGGAGAAAGAGCTGAACAGCTCGGTGGTCCTAAAATGGTAAAGAGTTCAGTTGAGTCCATTAAAGCAAAATATGTTTAACTCTAATGCTTCTCTCTTCTCCGTCGCACGTTGTTGCCCAACAGATCGTACAGCAGGCCCTGGACCGGGCCCGCGAAGGCCGGACCTGCATCGTCATCGCCCACCGCCTCTCCACCATCCAGAACGCCGACATCATAGCCGTCATCCAGCAGGGCCGTGTCGTCGAGATTGGCACGCATACCGAGCTTTTGGCGCGGCAGGGCGCCTACCATTCTCTCGTCAACGCCCAGGTTAACCACCACTAGCACTCGATCCTCTGCGATGGAAGCGTATTCATCAATTTGACCTGCCCAACTGTTAATTCTTCCAGAATTGGTGTGATTTCTGGAGGTGGGTTAAAACCGGGATCGAGGTCGGCTTATTTTTAGGTGGGGATGGGGGACCATTGCAAGTGGCAGTACAGCAATGGATTCGTGACTACATCTGTGCGGAGTTTATGGTTGTCCCCTTGAATGCATGGTGGGTTTGGTCCAGCTTAATCCCAATTAATGCCAAACGCTTGGTACAAAAAAAATATGGGACTGGCCAGACATCACAATGCAGGACCCTCCTGAAAAAGAGTCTTGACTCGGCGAGGCTGTCTTGGGATTATTACTGGAATTACTTTAAGAAGTAGGATACGGTTGCATTAAACCTTTTAAAAAGGGATTTACACCCCTTCCCTGATGGAGGCACGCAAAACAGCCTGCACTAGGCCAGGCCCGTTTGGGCCTAGTAAAGGCTTGTACGCACATGGACATGTATATTATGCACACACTTATATGAACCTGTATATATGCACAACATGCTTTACACACACACACACTTCAGGCTGTAAATAACCTTAACGCCACCTGAACTGGGGGAGTTTCCCCAGGTTCGTCCTCTTTTTGGAGGCGGTGGTAGCTGCTGCTCTGGGATTTTTGAAAGTTGGGGGACCGGGTGGGCGGGCAGGCGGGCATGCCACTGGGAAACAGTTCCCATTGGTTACCCCCCCCCCACCCCCCCCTCCCGGTCGACACGGATAACTCTGCTGCACATGCAGTCTACAAGCATATTGCTGCTCTTAAAAAGATTAGTCATTGGGCTTGCTGCACACGCACACTTCCCCCACCCCCCCCCCCCGCCGCTCAATTGCACAACCCCTACCACAACCCAAACCAGCCCAATACCCCCTTGGCCACAGGATTGGTGCCTAAACATAAAATGGCGCGTTCCCTAAAAAGGAAAGGCACAGAGACAAAATAGGGAAGATACAACAACAGGGCCAAATCTAGGGGTGGGGGATATACAGAGGCAGGAGGTGAGGGCCTAAAGAGTCAAGGGCAAGGCCTATGGAAGTTGAACTTCCCTGGGTCGATTTTAAGGGAATAATAAACTCCTTGAAAATAGTTTTTTTTTAAACAACGGTTTTATTAACAACTTAGTTTAACTCGCGGTCGAGAAGTACGTCAAATGGCGCCTGAGACACGTGGCGCCTGCGTTTTGTGCGAGCCGATTCCACAGTTTAGCGACCGCGGCGTTTTTGACCTATACAAATATATAGAAATAATAAGGCGTCCACACAAAATGTTAATTGCTTTAAAAAGTAGCGATTTAATCGATGCCGATTTTGATACAGGCATGCATGGTCACCGCATCGGAGTACGTGTGCAAAATGTGGAATTGATTGGACAACGGGAAATTTTGATTACAAGATTTGACCACGACAAACAGAAGAATCAAGTTAAGCAAAACCGTTGAAAAAGCATCGAATCCGACAAAGTGCCACGGAGGCGGCCACAGGCCCAGCTAGTTGTACCCAAGCCTACGCACCTACCGGCTACCGACTCGGTGCGGAGCCTGCTACTCGTGTATTTAAAGTTTTTAAAGTTATCTTATTAAGCACAATAGACATGATATGAAAAAGGTGGTTCTGCAAAGAATGGAATTGTAGCATTGCCACCACCCCCCCCCCCCCCCGTAAAAAAGTGTGCGTTTTCATGGGGTGCTCCTGGCAGGTTTCCTTCCCAAAATGCTCGTAAACAAAATAAAAAAGTCTTTAATATATATAGAGGACTGCAGAGCTTAGGCACCCGTTGGTACCACTGTATAAGTGCCGCGCCTCGTTGCTCCATGGCAACTGGGAGATGCAATTTGCACGCAGGATGACGCCGTGTATATGAAGCTAAAAACATTCAACCCCTTTCTTGGGGGGGGGGGGGGGATAGAGGTGAGGAGAAACGCAGATGCGAAAAAATACCCTGCAATCGTTTGTCCAACATCGTGGGTGGTGGGACCATGCAGTGCAACACAGCGCGGCGTTCCATCGGAAATGGCGCAAACGGCCATGTCACCTTGCCATGGCAGAGATTCGCTGGTGACGACATTGACCAGCATCACGGGCGATTTTGCCAGAAGAGTGAAGCAATCCACCTGCTTCCGGTCTTAAATAGAGCAAGACGACATTGCAGAGAACGATGACCAGCATGCTACTCGAGGAATATTGCAAGACTACCCAAAGCATTTTGAAAACGGCGGCGAACAAAAAAACGGAGATTCAGAGCTGCGGCGACGAAAAGCGATGTCGGCGCGGAGATTGGTGGCGCGATAAGAGGAATGTAAACGCAAGACAAGATAGTGCGACGAGAGAAGACACTGTGGGCAGTGCCGGATTAAACTAGTGGGGGGGGGGGGGGCCTGTAGCATATGCTATAAAGGGGCCCTAAATAAAAAAAAAACATTAATACACAAATGTGTAACTTGCATAATAAAGTAATTGTATTTTTGCATTTGCTATACAGCCGGATAATACGACAAAATCGCTCACCATCTTGGTTCTTTCGGTAAAGTCACGTAGAAGGAAAATAATAAAATAATACAAATAAAACATTAATAATTCTCACGACGTTTCGGCCACAACGCAAGCAGCCGTCCTCAGGTGAAGATCAGGTCGAAAATCGCTCACCTTAAACACGCAGTCGTTCATTATAGTACTCTATTAATAGAGCAAGTGCAGAATCACTGAACCGAAATTGATAGCTTGAAAGCATTTCTAGCGCTGGGCCCGTAGCTACATATGTAGCTACTTTTGCTACTAGCATAATCCGGCACTGTCCGTGGAACTTGGACAAGGAGATGTGGTTAGAAGAGAAAGAGGCAAGATCTAGACGAGAACATTCACCGTTTGGCATCAACCTGGCACCTTTTACGGATTTTAAATGTATTTAGGATTAAGTTGCGCCGAGATTCGAGGCACCCACATCACGAAACTGGGGGGGGGGGCTCTTTAAGCCTCCCCGAGCCTTTGCTAAGTTTGCTTATTGCCTTCACGTCACCTCTACAAATATATCCGTTAGTGGGAGGTAAACCACCACCACCGCCGCCTTCACTTTATTTGCGCCGAAATTGCTCTGTTTTATTTCGATTTAAAGCTTTCGTGACTGCAGGGATTCATCTTCTTGGTTCTTTCGGTAAAGTCACGTAGAAGGGAAATAATAAAATAATAAAAATAAAACCTAATAAAATACAATTCTCACGACGTTTCGGCCACAACGCAAGCAGCCGTCCTCAGGTTGTTCTTCACCTGTCTTTCCGACAGACCTGTTCTTCACCTGAGGACGGCTGCTTGCGTTGTGGCCGAAACGTTGTGAGAATTGTATTTTATTATGTTTATTTTTATTATTTTATTTCCCTTCTACGTGACTTTACCGAAAGAACCAAGAATATGCTCCGTTTAATGTTCGTTTATAAACATTTTGCGGTGAATGTAACAATTTCTAATGTCTGGAAGTGAGGGGGGGGACACACGTTTGACCAGGCTTCAAACCGGGCATTCGCCTTTCAAGTGCGGTCAGGAGGGGCATAGACACGGGACCATAGTACAGTACAATCGTTTTTTTTCTTCTGCACTGCACTTTGCCAATAACCTAGCCCTCTGCTATATATATATAAATATATCGAATATAAATGTTTTGTCTTAACATCATTACCTGTTACAATGTTGCAAATAAAACCCGAATGTCTGGTGCTCGGTACTTCAAAAAAAAAAACATCGAATGACAGCGGTGAATGTGCGAGGCAACGTTTGTGGTTGGCCTGTGACGACAATGACGGGTGGCGACGTCATAATGTGGGTTTAAATCCGGTGTTGGGATTGGTGGAGGCGGGTGCAATCTACGCCCCGCCCCTTACATTCTATTTGGCCACCAACAACTTTAAATGCCACGTGGTCCGTAGCCATACAAGATCAACCAGGGGTGGTCCGAGTGTCTTATGACCCTCTCCCCCTCCCCACCGCCAAATAATTGACCAATAAAATGTTCCCTTTCCATACTTTGCTTGCTTTAAATAAACCTTACTTTAAAACATTAAAGTTTAAAATAAATTAGGGGGGGGGTCACAAGACATCTGGAACCACCTTGTGTATATCGCAGCACCACAAACGACATTTCGCCCGTCAACTGCGAACATCTCAGCCGCAGTACAACATCTGGTTCTAGAAGCTCGTGGGTGACTTTTTTCTTTGGACCCTGGCAACGATTTTAGATTTCAAAACGCGAGCCCACCTTGGTTTGGGCCTGGTGGGTTTCTTTAACAAACAAACAAATAAAGAATCGCTTGACAAAACGCATGTAACATCGCACCTCCGACTTGGGACACGGTTGATGGCTAACGTGCAGTGATGGGGGGGGGGGGGGGTTCACCACAAATGTTCTTGGTTCTTTCCGTAAAGTCACGTAGAAGGGAAATAATAAAATAATAAAAATAAAACAATTAAATACATGTTTTATTTTTATTATTTTATTATTTCCCTTCTACGTGACTTTACCGGCTTCGATAGCGCTGTGAGAGCCAAAGCAAATCAAGGGACCCCAATACGGCACAGAGCCACAACCCTTTAACTCCCGACAAAGATCCCCCGTGTAGCCTCAACAGACTGTTGGGGCAAGTGCGGCTAGCAAGCAGCAGCTGTGAAGGCCGGCACTGTGGCACACGATGGGGTGGGTGGCCAGCGCCACGCCCGGCCGCCTTTGTCTCCCCAGTGCTGGCGATGTTTACTGCGCACCGCACGAGGTTCTCGTTTGAAGGCCCGGCGGCACAGGACTGGTTCGGACAATGGGTCACCGCTGTTGCCGTGAGCGGGAGTCGAATTCGGTTCGTCGGGTTCGTAACGCAGCGCGCCACCCACCCCACCCACTACCGCCGAACCCCACCCCGCACCACCCAAACCACCCACACCGCACCACACACTCCACCCACACAACACCACCACACCACACCACCCACACCACCCACACCACACCACCCACACCACACCACCCACACCTTACCACCCACACCACCCACACCACACCACCCACACCACACCACCCACACCACACCACCCACACCGTACCACCCACCCCACCCACACCGCACCACCCCACACCACACCACCCACACCACCCACACCACACCACACACTCCACCCACACCAAACCACCCACACCACCCACACCACACCACCCACACCACCCACACCACACCCCACACTCCACACACACCACACCACACACTCCACCCACACCACACCACCCACACCACCCACACCACCCACACCGCACCACCCACCCCACCCACACCACACCACACACTCCATCCAGACCGAACCACCCACACCACCCACACCGCACCACCCACCCCACCCACACCACACCACACACTCCATCCAGACCAGCAGCAGCTCGACGCTGGCAGTACGGGGGGCCTGGTGATGTCTCGCCACTGCCACCCGTGTGGGCAGCGGGGGCGCGCCCAAGGGTGGCACACGGAGGACCTCGCCCCCCCCCATCCTGCCCCCCACCTCACCCATCCAACCTCACCCATCCCCCCCATCTCACCCCCCCACCCCACCGCCCTCCAGAGCGACGCAAAATCTCCCCGAGCCCGACCGCCACCGCTGTGCTGCCTGCCGAGTCTCCCGTGCCTCCCGTCGGCCTCCCGCTCTCGCGAAACCTCCTGCCGTGTCCCCCCCACCACCCCCCACCACCCCCCACACCACCCCCCACCACCCCCACACCACCCCCCCCCACCACCACCCCCCACCACCACCCCCCCCACCACCACCACGCCTCTCTCACGTCCGTGGCCTCCGCGCCTTCTGTGCCCCCCCCCCTCTGCTCTCCGGCCTGCAACACCCAACAGCCCCATTCACTTGTCTCCTCCACCCAAGGACGTAGCCGTGGAGTCAACATCGGGGGGGACCAAATCTTCCAGGGGGTCTGGGGGTCCCAACCCAAAAAAATTTAACCCGTAAAAACAAAGTTTTTTCACTATAAATCCTTTATATGCGGGGCGGCTAGAGTCCTCTCGTCCTCTGGCTTGAGATGGCTGCCACCAATGGGTCAGATGATTGCCTGCCACCATTAAGCAATTGGTAATTAAATATTTTTTTTTAAAATTCCCTAAACAGTGTAAAATTTAGGATTTTTTTTCACGAAAATTAACACAACGAGTCTGTGTGCAAAATGTCAGCTCGATTGGATCACGGGAAGTGGGTTAAAAAAGTATAACCCGTAAAAACAAAGTTTTTCACTATAAATCCTTTATATGCGTGGCAGCGAACTTCATATAAAGGATTTAAAAATATATTCGCCTGTGGAGGACACGGGGATCGATCCCACGACCTTTGGCATGGGAAGCGAGGGCGCTACCAACTGCGCTACTCCGCCACGGCCTGTGGAGGGGTTACGCTCTGGGCTCTTATACTGTGACGTTCAGCCAAAGCGATGAATGAGTTCTATTTGAATATATGTAAAATAAAAATGTTTTGCCTAAAAAGTGTAAAATTTTAGAAAAAAAATTTCCCGAACATGAATTGTCTCGCACAACGAGTCTGTGTGGAAAATGTCAGCTCGATTGGATCACGGGAAGTGGGTTAAAAAGCGAGCGAAAGATTTGCACGGTCCTAAGCAAGCAAGCAAGCACGCAAGCAAGCAAGCGAACTTAATATAAAGGATTTAAAAAATAAAATATCTAAATTTGAAAACTGGTTTCCTGCCCAAAATATTTTGAAAAATTCACTAACACATGGGATGGACTTTTTATCAGTTTTTTACAATAATGTCTAATAGTGTATTGTATTACATTGCTCCGTTTTTTTTACCATTTCTTGTTTCATTGTATGTAATGGCAGAGATTAGAGATTCATAAAGTGCAACCAATAACCACAATCATACAAACATAAATCTACGCATTGATTTATATGAAGACGAGTCCAGATATTGTGGCCAAGGTTCAGCAAATTGTTCTTTTTATTTACATAACAATTATTTTTTATAGCAATAGATTGGGGGGGGGACATTTTGAGCATATTTGAATATCATAATTACGGCCTTAGCTCCACCCACAAAATTAACCGTCTCGTTAGCAGCCATCTCGGGTGAGGTTTCACTTGCGGTCTCGAAGACTTGCTTTGCCAGAGCGCCAAATACTGCTGC